TGGTGGCCTCATAAAACAAGTTTGTAAGTTTTACCTTCCATTTCTATTTTTTGGAACAATTTCAGAAGAATAGGTATGAATTCTTTAAATGTGTGGTAGAATTCCCCTGGGAAGCAATCTGGCCCTGGGTTCTTGTTTGTTGGGAGATTTTTGATGACTGCTTCAGTTTCCTTAGTGGTTATAGGTCTGTTCAGGTTTTGTTTCTTCTTGGTTCAGTTTTGGTAGTTGATACATCTCTAGGAATGCATCCATTTCTTCCAGACTGTCTTATTTGCTGACATATAGTTGCTCATAATATGTTCTTATAATTGTTTGTATTTCTTTGGTGTTGGTTGTGATCTCTCTTTCATTCATGATTTTATTTTTTTGGGTCAAGTCTGGCCAGGGGTTTATCAATCTTATTAATTTTTTCAAAGAACCAGCTCCTGGTTTTGTTGATCTGTTCTACTGTTCTTTGGGTTTCTATTTCATTGATTTCTACCCTGATCTTTATTATTTCTCTTCTCCTGCTGGGTTTAGGCTTTATTTGCTGTTCTTTCTCCAGCTCCTTTAGGTGTAGGGTTAGGTTGTGTACTTGAGACCTTTCTTGTTTCTTGAGAAAGGCTTGTATTGCTATATACTTTCCTCTTAGGACTGCCTTTGCTGCATCCCAAAGATTTTGAACAGTTGTGTTTTCATTCTCACTTGTTTCCATGAATTTTTTTAATTCTTCTTTAATTTCTTGGTTGACCCATTCATTCTCTAGTAGGATGCTCTTTAGCCTCCCTGTATTTGAGTTCTTTCCGACTTTCCTCTTGTGATTGAGTTCTAGTTTCAAAGCGTTGTGGTCTAATATAGGCAGGGAAAGATCCCAATCTTTTGGTACCAGTTGAGACTTGATTTGTGACCTAGGAGGTGATCTATGCTGGAGAATGTTCCATGGGCACTAGAGAAGAATGTGTATTCTGTTGCTTTGGGATGGAATGTTCTGAATATATCTGTGAAGTCCATTTGGTCCAGTGTGTCATTTAAAGTCTTTATTTCCTTGTTGATCTTTTGCTTAGATGATCTGTCCATTTCAGTGAGGGGGGTGTTAAAGTCCCCCACTATTATTGTATTGTTGTCAATGTGTTTCTTTGCTTTTGTTATTAATTGGCTTATATAATTGGCTGCTCCCATGTTAGGGGCATAGATATTTACAATTGTTAGATCGTCTTGTTGGATAGACTCTTTAAGCAAGATATAGTGTCCTTCCTCATCTCTTATTATAGTCTTTGGCTTAAAATCTAATTTGTCTGATATAAGGATTGCCACCCCAGCTTTCTTTTGGTGTCCATTAGCATGGTAAATGGTTTTCCACCCCCTCACTTTCAATCTGGGGGTGTCTTTGGGTCTAAAATGAGTCTCTTGCAGACAGCATATCGATGGGTCTTGTTTTTTAATCCAATCTGATAGCCTGTGTCTTTTGATTGGGGCATTTAGCCCATTTACATTCAGGGTAACTATTGAAAGATAGGAATTTAGTGCCATTGTATTGCCTGTAAGGTGACTGTTAACTGTATATTGTCTGTTCTTTTCTGGTCTATGTTACTTTTAGACTCTCTCTTTGCTTAGAGGACCCCTTTCAGTATTTCTTGTAGGACTGGTTTTGTGTTTGCAAATTCCTTTAGTTTTTGTTTGTCCTGGAAGCTTTTTATCTCTCCTTCTATTTTCAATGACAGCCTAGCTGGATATGGTATTCTTGGCTGCATATTTTTCTCATTTAGTGCTCTGAATATATCCTGCCAGTCCTTTCTGGCCTGCCAGGTCTCTGTGGATAGGTCTGTTGCCAATCTAATGTTTCTACCATTGTAGGTTACAGATCTCTTCTCCCAAGCTGGTTTCAGGATTTTCTCTTTGTGTCTGAGACTCGTAAATTTTACTATTAGATGTTGGGGTGTTGACCTATTTGTATTGATTTTGAGAGGGGTTCTCTGTGCCTCCTGGATTTTGATGCCTGTTTCCTTCCCCAAATATGGGAAGTTCTGTGCTATAATTTGCTCCAATATACCTTCTGTCCCTCTCTTTCCTCTTCTTCTGGGATCCCAATTATTCTAATATTGTTTCGTCTTATGGTATCACTTATCTCTCGAATTCTGCCCTTGTGATCCAGTAGTTGTTTATCTTTTTCTCAGCTTCTTTATTCTCCATCATTTGGTCTTCTATGTCACTAATTCTTTCTTCTGCCTCATTTATCGTAGCAGTTAGAGCCTCCATTTTTTATTGCAACTCATTAATAGCATTTTTGATTTCGACTGGTTAGATTTTAGTTTTTATTTCTCCAGAAAGCGTTTCTCTAATATCTTCCATGCTTTTTTCAAGCCTAGTAAGTATCTTTATAATCATCATTCTGAACTCTACTTCTGACATCTTAGTAATGTCCATATTGATTAGGTCCCTGGCAGTCATTACTGCCTCTTGTTTTTTTGTTTTTTGAGGTGATTTTTTTCTGTCTTTTCATTTTGTCCAGAGGAGAATAGATGAATAAGAGAACAAAATGCTAACAGGGTAACAACGACCCCAGAAAAATATGCACTAAACAAATTAGAAAAGACCTGAAGTCGGGGGAAAAGAAAGGGAAGGAAAAAAAAAGAAAAAAAAGAAAAAGATTAAAAAAAAGAATATGATCAAATATAATCAGGCTGGTGAATAGATCAGTGGCACACACTAGATTTTGGGCATATTTTGGTCTGTTAGAAGGAACTGCCTCCCAAAATTTTAAAGAAAGAAAAGTTCATATATGTACAAAAATAAGGGTAAATACGGTGAAGAGATGGAATATGACTGTAAAGATGAAAATTATAAAAGATTTTATAAAAGGAATTGATAAGAAGTTGGTTGAAAAAAGAAAGAAATTAAAAAAAAGGGGGGAGGGAGAGAAAGTGATCAGGCAGGAGACTAGAACAAAGCCATACACTAGAGATTTAGGGTATATTTTGGTCTGTTAGAAGAAACTGTATCCCAAAATTTTAAAGAGAGAACAACTTATATATATATATATACCAAAAATAAGGTTAAGTACTATGAAGGGATAGAATATGACTCTAAAAATAAAAAATAAAAAAGATTTTTAAAAAGGGATTGATAAGATGTTGGTTGAAAAGGGGAAAAAGAAAAATTCAAAAAAAAAATTCAAAAAATTAACTATGAGACTAAAGAATCGGGAAAAAAAGCCATTAATTCTATGTGCTGTATTTCCCTAGCACTGGCGTTCTGCCTTTCTCATTGATCAATAAATTTGGTCTTGGCTGGCTGTTCTTGCTGATCTTCTGGGGGAAGGGCCTATTGCAGTGGTTCTCAGATGTCTTTGCTGGAGGCGGAATTGCACCGCCCTTGCGGGGGCTGGGCTAAGTAATCTGCTCGGGTTTGCTCTCAGGAGCTTTTGTTCCTTGCAAGCTTTCCCTACAGCTTTGGAGGATGAGAGTGGAAATGGCGGCCTCCCTATCTCTGTCCTGGAGGAACCGAGAACTTGGGGCCCCACTCCTCAGTGAGCCCCCAGAGAAAAGCAGTCAGTCACTCCCATCTCCCCGGTCTCCGGCCACACTCTGTGCTTACCTGGCCTGTGACTGAGCATTTCTATCTCTGGCACATGACCCCGTTTGCAGTCTCCAAACCCAGCAGATTCCTGCGGTGTGTTTACGCGCCGCTCCTCCTGGGGGAAGAAGGGGAGTCTCCCCGATCTGCCGCTTGTTGGGTCCCTGCTGGAGAAGAATTGGCCCGACTGTGCTGCAGATCATGGTTTATGGCAACTCCGAGCTGAGAGCCCACTCCTTGACTCTGTCTTTGCAGCCGGCTTCCCCACTCCGATACTTGGGAGCTCTGCCACCCTCAGGCACCCCTGGTCTTTATGTGACTCCAAGGGTCCTGAGACCACACTGTCCCAGTGTGGTCCACCCCTGGCTTAACCACTGGAGTGTCATCCTCAGCGGAGCCGACTTCTAAAATTTCCGATTTTGTGCTCCGCTGCTGTATCACTTGCTGGTAGTGGCTGATGGAGGCTCCCTCCCCCTGCGGTCTCTCTTCTTGGATATCACCTCGGATTCACTTCTCACATCCTACCTTCCAAAAAGTGGTTGCTTTTCTGTTCAGAGAGTTGCTGGTATTTTCTTTGATCTCCTGTTGAGTTCGTAGGTGTTCAGAATGGTTTGATCCCTATCTAGCTGAATTTCTGGGACCAGATGAAATTTAGGTCTCCTACTCCTCTGCCATCTTGCTTTTCCTCCAGGATTGCATATTCTAAATTAGGACTAAATTAGGACTTCCATAAGCCATTTACTTTTTTGTGGAATTATGTAACATATGAAATCATTAAAATGAACATCTTATAGCAATTACTAATAACTATGTTAACAGCCTCTATATAGGACTGTGTCAAACATTAACTGAAAACCACGATTTTTCCATCCTTTATACCAAGAACATCCATACATTTGCAACATATACTCAAAAAATGACCTAGCTCTATTTGATGAGTAAATGACTTTTTTGTGTTTTCTAAATAAATATATTTTCTAAATTTGAAAAATGTACTCCCTCATTTGAATTAGGATCCCATTTATAATATTTATTCCACTACATTTATGGTTTTGTGACCAATTTGAAAGGTGTTATATCATTAAAAGCAGATCAAATTAGCTCCTTCAACTTATATCCATTAACTGTACTAAAGAAACTAGCTTTGAATATGGCAAGTTCCAGTTTGTGAAACAGATGTAGCCAAATATAGCTCTTGTGCAGAGGTGAGCCATTAGATGACTAAGAGTAAACTGTCACTACTATATACAAAGAAGAAAAAGAAGATAGGTAGGAAGAGATATCTAGTAGCAAATGTGATCTATTCTAAGGTTTTAAGCAATTTCAGAATTATAGGAACTAAAGGGCAATCTTTTTAAAGATGTATAAATGGTTTAGTTTTAATAATATTTATTGATTTATAATGTAAATAAGAGAATATAGGTAGCTCTTGAAATAAAAAAATAGACCACATAAAATGTGCACTTTAATACAAATCATTAGAATATATTTATACTATATATAAATCTACACATTAGAAGATACTACTGAAATTTTGCTCTATAGAATATCACTCTAGAATTCTTTTTAAAAAAAAAATCACTGGGTGGAATTATGTGATGACTGTGAAATAGATTCTCCCATTACAATGCTATTTCTGTCATTTAGAGTTTTGACAACAGTTGTAGCTGGAGATTGTAGCACTTTACGAGAAAGCCTCATTCTTCCATCAGCTGGATCACGTCCAAAGTATTTCACCTGTATTAAAGAAGCCAATTTACTTTTACAGTTGTAGTACAGTGATCAACATCCAAATTAGATATTTAAATTTATATGGTGCATAACAAAACAATGATTAATGATTTTACTTTGCTGAAAGCATAGCTTAGTGCTAAGTAGAGGTATATGGTAATAAATATAATTTGGTTAAATAGCTCTTATAAGAAAAGAGACGGGTATTTAGATGCCCTATTATAACCTTCTGTTAGACTCAACTATGCCTTCTTATTTCATCCTAGGCCAGGTCCCCAAGCCATGGCGTATGATTCTAGACAAGAGCTTTCTGAGCCTAAGGGTACTATAAACTATACAGGATGATGGTTAGGTCATTCACACTATTCCTCAAAGGACTATCACACTGGGAATTATTTGGCTTGACTTTAGACACCACAAGTCTGGGAAAATGTGGCAGTTTTTAAGTCCCTTCTGATGTAAAAGCACAACCTTATACAGATACTAGGTCTTAGTTCTTAATCTTCCCTAGAGGCTACTTGAACAATGGGACTACAGATTGGGAATAAACTAGAAGCCTTGGTTACTCAGGTCATGGGTAATAGGTATAGCTGGAACAAAATGTGGTATGGCCAAACCAAACCAAACCACACCAGACTGGCAGTGACTTCCTTTATCCACTCATAAAAAACTATAAAAAAGGACAAACAACATGGCTTTCATCAAGCTCAAAAATTTTTAGCTGTAAGCAGTATAGAACCAATTAAAGTCTCAACTCAAACATGACATTCAAGGCCTTTAACAGAGTCACATTTTCAGAGTTCTCCTGTCCTGTCTGCAAATCACTGCATAGCTATTACTGACTTCATGTATTTTTAAAAGCTCTGAAGAGGGGCTACTGTTCTAACTAAACTGCAAGCTCCCTAAGGGAAAGAATTGCAACTTAAATCCTTAGTCTGTTTAGAAGCAAACAAAATTAAAAAAGCACAGCACATAAATAATACAAATCACAGATGCTGATTTGATTCTTTTAGCTTTTTGAAAAAAAAAAAATAATTGAGGGGTGCCTGGGTGGCTCAGTCGTTAAGCGTCTGCCTTCAGCTCAGGTCATGATCCCAGGTTCCTGGGATAGAGCCCCGCATCTGGCTCCCTGCTCAGCGGGGAGCCCGCTTCTCCCTCTCCCACTCCCCCTGCTTGTGTTCCCTCTCTCATTGTGTGTGTCTCTGTCAAATAAATAAAATCTTAAAAAAATAATTGGAACTTCGAGTACAGTTTACAACTTTAAGGCTAAAAAGTTGAATACAAGTACCTGAATTTCTTGGCCAACTTCTAATCCGAGGGCGGTGGGATGTTTAATCTGAAAGAGAACATGTTCATCTATTAGTTGTTGTGCATAATTTCTTAATATCCATAGTAGTACACATTTTTTAAGTGGAAAGTTTTATTGTTTTTTCTGATTATAAAATCTGTTGATTATAGAGGCTTAAAATAATACGTATTCAAATGAGAGCAAAAATCATCCAAACCTCTCTACTTTTTAGATACCTGCTGCTGATACTCTAACAAGTGTCCCTTCAAATGTCTACTTAGTACATACTGCATTTGTAAAAATGGACCTTACTGAGCTTGTTTTCTAATATGTTGATTTTTCATTCAATAATATGTTGACATCCTTTTATATCAATAAATGAAACAGTACAGTTGAATGTTCAAACTATATAATTTGTTTAACTGTTCCCCAAGGATGGTCATTTAATTCATTTTAAATTCTAATATATTTTTTTGAAGATTTTATTTACTGGGGAGGGGGGGAGTGAATGTAGGGCACAGAGGGAGAGGGAGAGGGAGAGGGAGAAGCAGACTCACTGTGGTCCACAGAGCCCAATCAGGGCTCAATCCCAGACCTGAGATCATGACCTTAGCTGAAGGCAGATGCTTAACTGACTGAGCTACCTGCGCCCCTTAAATTCCAGTATTGCAAATGTTAATAATTACTGAATCTAGATGTAAGGTATATGTGGGTTCAGTGTACTATTTTTTTTCAACCTTTCTGTAGGTAACTGCAGTGTTGCAACAATTATGTATTCATTTACTCAAATTATCCTCTCAGAACAAAGTCCTAATGTAGAACTTCTAGGGCCAAAGGTACTCACACACATTTACCATTTTTTCCTTCATATTTTTACTCACATTGGTAATTTTCAACTCTCTGAAAGTTGTAAAATGATAACTTAGTTTTATTTGCATATAAAAAAATTGCTGTTGGGGTGCCTGGGAGACTCGGTGGGTTAAGCATCTGACTCTTGATTTCAGCTCAGGCCATGATCCCAGGGTCGTGAGATCAAGCCCTGAGTTGGGCTCTGCTCTCAGTGTGGAGTCTACTGGAGATTCCCTCCCTCTCCCTCTGTTACCCACCCTGCTCGCCCATGCTCTCTAAAATTAAAAAAATAATAATAAATAAATCTTTAATTAAAAAAAATTGCTGTTGATATTGACCTTTCTTACTGATCCATATAAACCCTGTGCATATGAAGCCTCTCTCATATGTTATATACATCTTTTCCCAAGTTGCTACTTGCCTTTCAACTTTATTGTAATTTTGCCATATACTTTTTAAAAATGACGTCAGGGGCAGCTGGGTGGCTCAGACAGCTAAGCATCTGACTCTTGATTTCGGCTCAGTTCATGATCTCAGGGTTGTGAGAGCGAGCCCTGTGTGGGACTCTGCACTCAGCAGGGAAGTCTGTTTGAGATTCTCTCTCTCTCTCCCTCTGCCCCTCCCCTTACTCATGCAGTTGTGCTCTTTCTCTAAAATAAATAAATCTTTTTAAATAAAAAGAGTAGACATTCTGCTTCATGAAAACCAGCTATTCCAATACAATGTATTGAGTCATCTTTGTTTCTTCAGAGTGAAAATGCAACTTTTAGTATGTATTATATTCCCATGTATATAACTGGATGATTTCTGTCTCTATTTTCTGTTGCATATTGTCTAATTCTAGGTCAGTAATATACTGTTTCATTCTCTATAGCTTTATATTTCAATATTTGGTAAACCAAACATTCCTATTATCCTCTGCACCTATACTTTTCTTGAATAGTTTCATATTTTTAGTTTTATCTTGCTATGCTTGGTTGGCCAAGAAAATTGGGAAGACAGGGCTATAGGTAGGTATTTTTAAAAAGTAACTGTTATATGTTAACTATAGATGTGTTAACTCGAGTGTTTCTATTCCATCATACAAGTACAAACAAATACCTGTGTTAAACAGTGTACAAAACTTTTGTCAGCAACATCGCTGTCATTTTCAGTTTTCTATATTTAGGCTAGTAGTGGACAAAGTGCACAATCCTCATCAACCCAGGTAATTTCACTATGATGATTTTAAGGCAGTTTTAAAAATAAGTTATTTTTTTTACCTTTCGTTGATCAAGTTGTGTGTTATGAAGTAGTACTGCAGTCATATTTGGATATAGTTTAACCATTACTCCAGTGTCTCTGAAAAGGAAATAAGCCTGATTAAAACAGTATCTGTGTATCTACTGATAATCAAACTGATTATGTATTCATTGGAGAACAAAGTAAACACGCATACAAAATTGTAAAAACGATTATCTAAAAGAGATACTTATTTTTTCAATTGAACATACACCCTGTATTTAAATTTTTTTAAAAAGATTTTATTTATTTGAGAGAGAGTGAGAGAGAGAGCATGAGCAGGGGGAGGGAGAGGGAGAAGTAGACTACCCTGAAGAGCAGGGAGCCCGACTTGGGGCTCGATCCCAGGTCACGACCTGAGCTGAAGGCATGTTCTGAGCCACCCGGGCACCCCTACACCCAGTATTTAAATACTTGTGAATGAAAGGACAGAGAAGAGATAAAGGAAAATTGTGTAGTGACAAGCTTTTAGACTATATATTCTTCTATATTTCTCTTCATAGTGTTTCTCCAAACATTTTGAAATGACATTAAATTTTTATTTTTTTAAAAAATTTTTATTAGAGAGAGAGAAAGCGACAGAGATAACAAGAGAGCACAAGCAGGGAGTAGAGGGATAGCAACATTAAATATTTTAAAGTAGTGTAGATTAATCATCAGCCTATTAAATAATGATTTAAGGAAGGGGGTTGGATAAAATATTTATTTCATTAAAAAATTTGTCTTTTTTTCACTCATCTACTAAAATAAGCCATCCAATTTCTTCGTTTGTCACCTGTGATATTAAACAAATTATTCCATTGGCTTTTGTTATTCATTTCTTTTTTTTTGTTGTTAAAGATTTTATTTATTTATTTGAGAGAGAGAGAGAGAGCACATGAGAGGGGGAGGGCCAGAGGGAGAAGCAGACTCCCTGCTGAGCAGGGAGCCCGATGTGGGACTCGATCCTGGGACTCCAGGACTGAGCCACCCAGGCGCCCTTTTGTTATTCATTTCAAATAGCTTTGAACACTCAGGCTACATCGATACATATATGTATTTCTTTCCTTAAAAGAGGGATTTTCAAGGGCCCCTGGGTGCCTCAGTCCATTAAGCGTCTGCCTTTGGCTCAGGTCATGATCTCCGGGTCCTGGGATTGAGCCGCGCATTGGGCTCCTTGTTTGCAGGGAGCCTGCTTCTCCCTCTCCTCGCCACTTGTGCTTTCTCTCGCTACCTCTCTCTCAAATAAATAAATAAAATCTTTAATAAAGGGGGGGGCATTTTCTCATCCCCCAAAATCGATCTTTTTAGCTGACAAAAAATGCTTTGAGGTTGAAACTGACATTTAAAAAAATGTGAGGGCATGTCTTGAATGGAGCACTGGGTGTTTATACACAAACAATGAATCATGGAACATCAAAAACTAATGATGTAGTGTACAGTGATTAACATAACATAATAAAATAAAAAAAATGTGCTCCTTAGCCATTAAGTAGTACTATCTTTAAAACAAACCAACCAGAAACTATCAGAAAAAGAAAGAAAAAGGAAATACTGCTAGGTCTATTTTCGGCCTGTTTTACTGTTTATTGGGAAAATTTAAATGGTGGTAAATCTGGTTCAAGAAAACATTTATTTAGATGAATCTATTAATATAATTATAATCACAGAATCATGTTATTGAAAATCAACAAACTGGTATAGAAAATAAATTATACCTTAAAAATAATTAATGATTTTATGGTAGGTAATTGACATAAAATCTAAATACCTTACACTTTCAAAGTACATAATGCAAATGTGAAGTTAACATGTGCTTGTAATATAAATCTTACAAAAAAACAGCATGGCATATTAGTTGATATTACCTGATTTCAGTTATTGTGGCGGTATACACTGCTCCAAATTCTAGCTGCTGCTCTTGCTGTAAGTGCAAAATAAGCCATAAGATGAATAAACAGCAACAAAATGTAGAAAAAAGTATTATAAGATCTATACTTACATCATCTTTACAGATTTCAGTAATGAAGTCTCTTGCTTCATGCATAGCACTTGGTGTTGGTGCAAATACAGAAAATGTTTCTTCATCCACCTGACTAACAGTTACTCCTTTTAAAAAGATAATTTAACATATTAAAGTTAACTTGCTCACTCTAGCCGAGTCTAGTTTCAGAAAGTAGATGTGAGAGCAGGGGACTGACCTGTAAGTAGCTGGGCAGGGTTGTGTTATATTTATTCATTGCTTTAGGAATGAAGGGATTCACTCACCAAGAAATACACATTGCACACCTGCTATGTATCTGACATTGTACTAGGCCCTGGGGAAACAACAGTGAGTCACTGTCTTTGTGTTCTTGGAGCTCACAGTTTGGTAGGAGAACGCATATTTAAGTCCTAATTTTGCAGCGTTTGGTTTTGCTCTCTTAATTGTAAGTAGAAACTATACTAGAACCTTTTCCTCACCTTTTTTTCTTTCTTACTCTAGAGTGGTGAACAGATGGATGAGGGACAAAATCATGTCAGTTTCTCAATCTAAAGAGCTGGCTAAGACAACTCTGCTTCTCACCTTCCTTCAATAACCTCAAAGTTGGTAAGTACTAGGTAACTCAAAGATTGCATACTATTTCTACACTCTTTAAATAAAAGAGTCTAAATAAGACTAAGTGAAAAATAGCAGAATAGAAAATGACAGCAAAGTCCTCTAAAGTGAAAAACTAAACATTTTTCTAAATGTTCAATTTTAAAATGTCACAAACCATTTGATGAATTGATGAATTCTAGGTCATCCTAGGTTAAGAATGAATGTTGATTTATTAAGAGGCATACAGAAAACTTAGAGTAAAGACATGTCAGTGTTATATTCTTTTCTCTTGTTCTTGCATATCTCAAACATATTTTTTGAACACAATAGAGATGAAATGGCAACTTATGTAGCCTACCATTAAAACCCTCAAACTTGGGGTGCTTGGGTGGCTCAGTTGGTTAAGTGTCTGACTGTTGATTTCGGCTCAGGTCATGATCTCAGGGTTGTGAGATCGAGCCCTCGAGTTGGGGTCCATGATGGACATGGAGGCTGTTTAAGATTCTCTCTCCCCCCTCCGCCTTTCCCCCTCCCTCCCCCCAAAAAAATAAAACCCCCAAACTTTATACAACTCTTACCTGTTTCAGCCTGAAGCTTTTTTAAATGATATCCACCCGGTCCAACAAATTTTGCCCGTTTTGATAATGGAACCTGAATAGTTTCTGAAATGCAGTACAGACAAAATTGTAAATAATTCAAATACATATATGAACCTAAAACATATCTTGATCAGTCAAGATTTTTTTTGGCATAGACACATGTAAAAATATTTCATGGGAAATAGAAAAATAGTTACTTGACTAAAGTTTCTGAAAGTACTCATGCCTAAAAGTATCTCCCTAAATTTAAAATATTTTAACTATAGAAATAGTTAAAATATTTTCGTTTTGTATCGCTTCTCGGCCTTTTGGCTAAGATCAAGTGTAGTAAAATATTTTCGTTTTGTGTATGAAGTTAAAGGAAATTTAAATATAATAATATACTTTCATATATTAATGTTTACCTTATCACAGAATAAATAATAACTTTATTCCATTACCTACAACAGGTCCATTTTCTTTTCTAGATGCTCGAGGTTTTGAAATGGTTTTGTTCATAATCTGTAGTATCTCCTTCTTTGCCACTATAAGAGATAAAAACATAAAAATTATAACTACAGTTGACCCTTGAACAACTAGAGATTAGGGATGTCTACCCCTGCATCAAAAATTCGTGTAAAACTTTTGATTCCCCAAAACTTAACTAATAGCCTACTTATTGACTGGAAGCCTTACCCATGGAAAAAAACAGTTAAGTAACACATTTTGTTTGTTGTATCTATTATACTCTATATTCTTACAATAAAGTAAACTAGAGAAAAGAAAATGTTAAGAAAACCATAAGGAACAGAAGATATATTTACAGTACTGTATGTATATTTATTGAAAAACATTTGTGCATAGGCATGGGATAGGGGGCTGGCCTTGGGATGGCAAAGTTCCACAGCCTGGTGGCTTAGGCTCAGCAGTGGCAACCCCTGGGTGGCCTGCAGGCTGCAACAGTTGCGTGGAGGCATAGTATAGCTGCTTCATCTGCCTGGACATGTACCACTGGCCCATGGCCATACACTGGCACCTATGGCCACATGTGAGTATGCTGGTCTCCAGGAGGCCTCGAGGCCAAGGTGCCCTGGTGGGGAGTGAGTCCCCTCCTAATCCCACAGGCACAGAGGACTTAGTGCAGGGACGTCCTATACAGTGCTGTCCCTGCCCTCTGGGCTTGTTTTTCCACTTCAGCCCAGTCTTCTGCTGGCCAGCCCTGGATGCTTAATGGGACCACCTTCTCAGTACACTGGGCGATCTGCAGCCCTGCCCAGTCATGGCCGCCCCCCCCAACCCCCAGGGGCTGCTAATTGCCTCAGCAGGCCTCTTAGGATACTCAGTGCAGCGGGCATGACCTCTTGTGCCAGCTGCCTTTAGTTGGTCTGGTGGGATGGGCAGTAGTAAATAAATGACTTGCTGTTGTAAATAAATGCTTTTGTTGCCAACTCTTTAATAAAAACAATCTATGTATAAGTGGACCCATGCAGTTTGAACACACATTGTTCAAAGGTCAACTGTATATAAAATAAATGTGATAAGATAGAGCAGTATTCTTAGTTTTTATAGAGTAAAATCCAAATTCTTTAACTTAGTAATCAAAGCTCTTCATATCCTAATTACCTTTACAATTCTACTTATAGTCCCCTTTCTCCATAAATCTTATCTTAGTCACTTAACTTGTAAAAATTGAATTTTCTCTGGTCTCTCATAAAGGTTTTTACATGAAATTTCATTTTCTAAAGCAGTATTTTATAATAAGCCCATTTTTAATATGCCTAATGGGAATTATAGTTGCCATGAACAATGATGGAAAGAGAATCAGGCACACTGGCTTAACTTACCTGAGGCTTGTTGAATGGCCTCCATTACAATTTTTATTGGTATTCCAGGTAATTTAATATCAGCCTAATGTGGAAAAGTCAAAAAATTATATAAATATTGATTCATTATTTAAATATTATAAAAGTGAAACAAAATAGGTTTTAAAATACCTGTAATGCAGTTATTCCCTTATTGGTGCCGGCTATTTTGAAATCCATGTCACCATTGTAATCTTCAATTCCCTGAAGGAATTTAAGAAATGATATAGTGTTTTTTTTTTTTTTTAAGATTTTATTTATTTATTTGACAGAAAGAGAGAGATAGCAAGGGCAGGAACACAAGCAGGGGGAGTGGGAGAGGGAGAAGCAGGCTTCCCGCCAAGCAGGGAGCCCAATGCGGGGCTTGATCCCAGGACCCTGGGATCATGACCTGAGTTGAAGGCAGCCACCTAGGCGCCCCAGAAATGATATAGTTTTAAATAAAAAATTCACCCAGTCACTATAGAGGAATTTTGAAAAACAGCTGTAGAAGTAAACCATGTCCTCTAAGACTAAATACAAAAAAGTATCTTCTACATTAACTACTGCTTCTAATTTGTGGCTTTTTAAGTTAGAAGTGTTTCATCATAAAATCACTTTAAGATCATGTTGCCCCCCCAAAAATGCACAGGGATTCATTTATGATCACCCTGAAGTAAGCCGTTACGGATATTTATACCGTCATATATATATTTTAACTCACATCCTATAAAATCCAAGGCTAGTTGCAGAGGAGGAAAGTAAGAACAAGGACCACCGTTTCTCAAATGTTATTCTTCTAAGCATCCAATGCTTATAAAATGTGCATCATCATCTTCACCACTGAATATTTGAAAACATGGATATACTTACCAGAATATCTGTCAGTAAACGATAATCTTCTATTTCACCCTTGTCAGGACTGTTTTTGGTGACCAATCCAATTGCCACACCTGCGACAGCAGATGAAATTGGAACACCTGTAATTGAGAAAAAGAGCTTGTATGTAATGTGTACATCAGCCTAACACACATATTTATCATTCTGTTAATATTTATTTTAAGTGGTGTTTTAAATTTGACATCATCAGAACTAAGCTGGAAGGGTCTTCTATCTACCTCATTTCTTCTTAAGCACATGATAAAAGCCCCTTAAAACAATTCTAAACAGGTAATCACTGTTCTCACAAAAACTTCTATAAAAGTAGCAAACTTAACTCTTAATGGAATCCATTTGTCTTTTTACTTTTGGTATATTTATCTTCTTTTTTTAGAAAAGTAACCATGTTATTGGTAAATCCTTCCAGCCTAAACCCCTTAGCTCACCTTTCCATGAAAACCATCAGTAGGTTTTTTTGTGTGTGTATCCTCTCAGAAAATTTGTGCCCAAATATGAATCGAAGTGTAAGCTTTTATTTTCTTTACTTATGGAAGCATAGTGAATGCACTCACTATTCTGCACCTTGCGTTTTTTCACTTAATAGCATACCTTGGATATTGACACATAATGCCACACAAAGTTCCCACCTTATTCTTTTGAATGGCTGCTTAGTACTCCCTGAATGGATTTATTTATAAGTCACATAATAGAAGTGGGATTACTGAGTAAAAGGGTGTGTGGATTTACATTTATTATAAATCTGTCAAACTGCCTTCCACAGCGTAGCATTTTATATTTTTACCAGCAGTATTTGAGGGTGCCTCCTGTTCTACTTTCTTGTTAATTCCTGTCAAACCTTTTGACCTTTGTTACATAAAGGGTAAAAATGGTAGCTTATTGTTTTTAATTTGATTTTTTATAAGTGAGATTAAACTTTTTTAAATGTTTACATACTGTTTATTTTATTTATTTATTTATTTAGGCTCCATGCCCAGTGTGGAGCCCAATGCGGGGCTTGAACTCACAACCCTGAGATTAAGACCCAAGCTGAGATCAAGAGTTGGACACTTAACCACCTGAGCTACCCAGGCACCCCTTATATTTCTTTTTCTGTGAATTGCCTGTTCATGGCCTTCAACCATTTCCCTACTTGTTTGCTAGTCTTTTTCTTAATGATTTATAAAAGCTCTTTCAATATGGACAGTACATCTTTGTTAAATACAAATACAGAATATTAAAGGAAATATATTATTTCCTAGTCAGTTGACTTTGTTTATTGTGATTTATTTTCCTGTACAGAATTTTAAAATTATATGAAATCACGGTTCCTGGATTTTGCAAAAAAAAAACAAAAAAAGAAAGATTTTTCCTAATATTTTGATAAAATCTTCCATGTTTCAATTTTTTACAAAACATTTAAGGTTTTATCACTTGGAACTTATCTGTTACAAAGGAGTGTGGCGGGGATCTCATTTCATATTCTCTAAGCAATCTCACTTATGCTCATGGTTTTTAACCATAACCTATAATGTTGATGACCTAAAAACCTCTCTCTCCTGCCTGTTTCTCTTTTCTAATAAGCCCTAGATCTGTACAGCCAATTTGCCTATTGGACATTTCCAGTTAAATGTCCCCAAAGCACCTTATATGTATGTACATATATTCAAAATGTAATCACACCCAATAAGTCCTTTTTGTCTTGCCTTTCTTATCTTGGTTGAATGCAACTAAGACACTCATGCCAGAATCAACACTTCTTTCCTCATTTCCTATATGAAGTTACAAAGATCTGATAGTTTGTCCTTTAAATTTTTTTATAAAGCTGTCCTTTCCCCTAAATACTGTAACATTCATTGCTACTCCTTTAGTCCAAGTCCGCATTATTTCTTGCTCTGACAACATTCTCCCTGTCTGGTTTCCCCAATTTTAGTCTCTCCCCTCAGTTTTCATTCTCTCCCACTTCATCCTCTAGGTCTATCACCTAAGCTGAAAAAATTACCAAAAAGAAAAATCAGATTCAAATCACACTATTCCTCTACATAAAATTCTCCTGAGTTCCCCATTATCTGCTTTCAGGAAATTTTATTTATTTATTTTTAAAGATTTTATTTATTTATTTGACAGAGAGAGACACAGCGAGAGAGGGAACACAAGCAGAGGGAGAGAGGGAGAAGCAGGCTCCCCGCCAAGCAGGGAGCCCGATGTGGGGCTCGATCCCAGGATCCTGGGACCATGACCTGAGCCGAAGGCAGATGCTTAATGACTGAGCCACCCAGGCGCCCCATGCTATCAGGAAATTTTATACATGTTCTTTGGTCAAAATCATTTGGGAAATAGTGCATATCCTGTTCCTAGAGATTCAGAATTCACATTAGCATATTAAAGTTTATTTAACTCCTATTAAATAAACCTGCTTAATCCTGCTCAAATGTACTTTAGAACAGAATGATTTTTTTCTCATGGTATACAATAATCAACATCCAGCAGGAATACTAGTCATAGAATACTGAGTTGTGAAATATTAGCTTTAAGTTCAAAATAGGTCCTTAACGTAACAATGACCTTTAAAATCTGGTCCCAATTTATTACTTAGTTTTTTCAAATACATTTCAGAAACACACCATACTGCTTCATAACTTTGCCCATGTTGTTTTCACATGAAATATGGGCCCTGCTCCTAATGACAGATCAACTACTCAACCTTTAGAACCAGATGAAATGTTGCTGTCTCTATGGAGCTAATTGCCTTCAACCTAATTCTTCATCCATATTGTACATATTTATGTTACCTATCTGAATTTATCTTCTTGATCTATTAGTATGTTTTTCACACCTGTAAACTTTTCAGAAAATGGGTACCATTTGTATCCCTGAAGCAAGACAGTGCCTGATGTGAGGAATGATAAGCACTCATGTGTTTGAGTTGAACTGCACACCTTTGTTGGCTTTTCCCACAGGACTTGACATTCATTCTTGTCAAATTCAACTTTTTTCTATTTGGCTTCTTATTTTTTATCTTATTGACATTTTTTTAGAGATCAAAATTGTCATTTAACATATCAGTCACCCATTCTTTTTTAGCAGTATCCTTTTTATCAGCAGGCCAGTGTTCTAAGTCAATTCAATAATAAAACCATTGACAGGATTTAGAAGGAAACATCCTCAGGCATTCCACTCGACCAAACCATCCTACTGATCAGATTTGCTTGTTTCCTCTACTCATGCTTCAACCAGTTATGAAGGTGCATCTATCATCCATCTCAATTTCTGTATCATTTACAGAAAAATCATGAGCTGCCAAGCTGACTCTAGATATATGGCATAGGCGGCAACCCCCCTCCCAGCACCAAATCTGGTAATGTTTTCCAAAGTGGAACATTATTTTACGACAGGATTTATTTCAAATGAGTCCCTTCTGGTCCCTTCTCTTCACGGCCCCCTCCTTCCTAAAAATACTTATAAACCTTTTTTTTTTAATATTACCTATTTAAGAGTTTTATCAAGGGTCACTGTCAAGTTCACTAGGTTATGCTTTACAGAAAATACCTTACTTTCTTTCAAAATTAAGAACTTTTTGTGTCCTTAGTATACTAGTTTCTGATTTTTCAAATACTGCCAACATTGGTCAGTTATCTCATCCTGAAGTTCTCATCTTTACTTAGGTTGGGTTTTTGTCTAGACCAAAAGATCTGAATTCATTTAAAGCAGTTAAAGACTCTCTTATGATCTCTTTTTATTTTATCTTTCAGTTCACCTTTTTGAGAATATGTTGTGTTTTCCAATGTGAAAATGTAAGACTGACTGAATGCAAGCTCCACCAGGACAGGGACTTTGTTTCGTTCATCACTGTGTCCCAAGGGCTTAGGTCAATGCTTGGAAGAGGGGTGGCATCTAGTAAAGATTGGTTGAATGAATGCATGAAGGTGAAAACAGAAAAAGTATTTTACCAGCAACCTTAAATACCAGCTTATGTTTTTCTGGCACTGAACACAACTAGAAAAGTACCTTTAGGGTTTTTTTGCTTTGGCTTAAGTTTTCATCTTTCTAGACAGTGTTAATATATATTTCCATGATTCTTTTATCTCATCCTTGGTTATAGTATCCTATCTTTCTGTTTTTCTGTACTATAAATGTGTGAACTTAGAGGGAGCTCCTTGTAGCCTCTTGAGTATCTTTAGGTTCCTTTTTCTTCTTGAACAGCATCGTTGGTGTTCCCTTTTGGTGTTTCAAACTGAGATATTATACTGAACCTCTTACAGTCTTTCTTCCTAGAATTCTGTGTATCCTCTGTGGGTGGTATTGTTCTTCTCATGCCTTGCAAATTGACTGGAAGATTACATGGTTACTTTCCTTTACAGGTCCTAAATACTTATTCTTGCTGGTCCAAACTTTGTTGGTGAATGGAATCAACTGCAGAGCTCTTTACCTTTTAGAAGGTGAGAAAGCCCACTGATTACCAAGGTAAGTAAATAATTTTAGTGTTCTCCCTTTTGCCAAAGATAAGAATTCTAGTAATTATCTGTATAGTTGAAGCTGTACTTTGTAACTATCTTGCTCTGGCCTGGTTTGGTAATCTGTAATCTGACTTCTCCAGGTCTTACCAAAATCCAATTTTAAAGAGATCTTGTATTTTATACTAATCAAATACAGATAAAGCATTAGTAGTTTTGACACATAACTTTACCTGCGTCCATTAATGCTAAACTTCCACCACATGCAGATGCCATTGAAGATGATCCTATAGAAACAAAAAATACTTGCTTTTTAATATACTGATTTTTTAAATGTAGAAAACTATTACTATTGGTTATTTCCTTATAAATATTCAGTATTCTTCTTTTTAAAAGCAATTAAGGCAAGCTCTGTTAAACCACAAACTATAGGACTACACAGTCCAGTATGATAGTCATTAGGTACATGTAGCTACTAAATTTAAATTAATTGAAATAAATTCAGTCCCTCAAAAACTGCATAGCACAGAGATAAATTCCATCATCACATAAAGTTCTATTGGACAGCAGTGCTACAGATTCTAAGAAACCTCCCAGAAAAACCACCATGCCTCTTTTGTTGCTTAATCAGAAGGTAGTTAAAGATACAGGCTCTGGCTCTCTCACTGGACCCTAAGTTATAGCCTAGTCACACCCTTTAGAGAACAGAAAGTCTCTAGTTTAAATTCAGAGGATTTTTGTTGTTGTTGTTGTTTTTAAGTATCTGTGACCATCTCTGTGACCTTTCTGTCTCTAATGGCCATACCTTGCCTTGACCTAGATACTTAATTTTAATTTCTATTTGATCTTTTAAAATATATTTTTAAAAGATTTTGAGAGAGAGAGAGAAAGAGAACATAAGCAGGGGGCATGGCAGGCAGAGGGAGAAGCAGGCTCCCCACTGAGCAAGAAGCCCAATGCGGGACACGATCTCAGGACCCTGGGATCATGACTTGAGCCAAAGACAGGTGCTTAACTGACTGAGCCACGTAGGTGTCCCTAAATTTGATCTTTTAGTCCAGCCTCTCTCTCTGTGCTGTCTACTTATATCTGTGATACCTGATAGGTGTCCCCTGCCTAATGTGTCACTCTCTTTTGGCTCTTTCTCTCTTGAAGCTGGCCTTGCTCTATGGTTTCTAAAAATAAACAAATAACCCCAATTGGATCTGTTATAAAAGATACATAAAGAGAAATATTTGTTTTATATTGCTTTCAAAATATCTCATTAGCTACGAACAGAGATTTAGATAGTATATGATTAAACACATTTTTCTTTTGTCATGGACTTGGGCACTGTGGTAATAAGCATAATGTAACATTAGTTATGGAAAGTTAAGAATATAACAGGGAATTCTGGTCTTTTGACTAGAGGAAAAATTTATTTTAATATCCTACCATTTGACTCTAGGACTTCAGATGTTACTCTTATTGTGAAAGGAAAATCCTTGGGGATAACAGGATACAAAGCTCTCTCAGCAAGAGCACCTAAATTAGAATAGAAAATAATAAGCATAAATGTACTAAGTCCCCATAAGAATACAAGAAAGTTTATAGATTTGTACTCACCATGCCCAAGTTCTCTTCTATTCACACCAGTGACTTTGCCAATTTCATTAGTGGCATAAGGAGGAAACTTAAAAACAAACAAAAACAGATACATAAACAGCTGACATGGAAAGATATAGTACCAAAATGATAAAAGAAGTTACAAAATAGTAGAATCCCATTTTTTTTAAAGTTCATTTATATACATAGAAAATGTCTGTATATCTGAACTATACATCAAATTACTAAAAGTAACTATTTCTAATGTGTATTTGAACCAGAGTGGGAAGTGGATGGTTATGGGGATTCACAACATAAATTTCTATAATGTTTAAATTATTAACAATGATGAAATATTATATATTTACAGTAAGAAAAATATATACAAATTTAAAAATGCACATTGAGGAAACAGATCTTTTCCAGTAGGGTTTTCTTTTAGTCAGAGGTTGCAAACTACTTTATTTGACCAGTACAGTGTCTCAAAGGAATATGACTTAGTTCAATCATTTAAAATAATGGGAAATGTCCCATAAAATTTGGAATTCCAGTTTCTCTAACAAAATATTTTTAAAAAGGAGTAATGGTAAATGAATCTTCAAGCCTCTGGACCTAGCAGTCAATTTTCAGGATTGCAGTCAATTTTTAGGAGATAGAAAGAGAAATCTGTTGGATTGCACCACGAGTGTGTACTCAACAACACTCAGACTGCAGGTAAAATGGCTCTGGGACTTCAACAGACAGACTGAAAAGAAAAGAACATTTTGGAGACCTATAGATTAAAAGAGAAATATCAAATTTTTAAAAAATGGACAAGATTACAGTGTCTAGGGAATGTACACTAGAAATGCAAGGAAGTAATTACTATAAAATTTAGGAGAGTAGTTACTTTCAGGGAAAGAAGGGTGTTGAGCCTGGGATGAAAAGCATGGAGGGGTTTCAGGGGTGACTGGGAACATTTCTATTCTCTGATTTTGGTGGTGGTTATAAGGGTCTCTGCCTTATAAAAACTCATTATGCCATCCTTTGTTTTATAACATTTTCAGTATCTGTGTTTTATTTTTATTTTACAATAAAAAGTTTTTTAAAAATGAAATGATGTAGCAATAACAGCCCATATCCTTTTACTGCCCCCTTCCTTTACTTCTGTTGCCAGTAATCAGCTACAGGTACATTTTTCACAGCTGCCCTTTTTATTAATTTTTTAAAAAAAGATTTTATTTATTTATATGACACAGAGAGAAAGAAAACAAACACAAGCAGGGGGAGTGGCAGGGAGAGGGAGAAGCAGGCTCCCCACTGAGCAAGGCGCCCAATGTGGGGTTCGATCCCAGGACCCCGGGATCATGACCTGAGCTGAATGCAGACACCAACTAAGCCACCCAGGCGCCCCGACAGCTGCCTTTTTTTAAAGACTGCCATTCATGTGCTGTGCAGCTCATGACAAAGGATATGCTTTACTCATTTATAATTCCTTTCTGGCTTCTGCAGCATCTGAGTATATGCAGAACAGGATATTTACAAGGGACTCAAAATCTGTGAAAATCTCCAGGTTTCTGTATATTCTCTATTAATTATAGCATGCTCAACAAAATTGAGATGTTGGGATTCTGGGCAGCCAACAACGGTCACTCAAAAGTGAAGTGACTTGCTACTTTTACCCTAGCCTCCCGGCATATATGCTCCAAATACTAAAATTAAAGTGCTATATGTTGCGTCTAGTGCCTTAGGACTTAGTTGTAAATGAGGTCAATCACCAACTCAATAGTTTCACATAAAGTAATTTAATATTAAATACCACAGAGTTTTTTTTACTACTAATCAACTGAGTAAAAATATGAACATTTAAATGAACTAAAGGGAGGAGGTGATTTGTCATTTGAGGTATTTGAAAAGCCCCACTTTTGTTTGATACCAGTGAATGGGTACAACTTTTTCTTGACTAAAATAAAATTGCCTACTATACTTTAACTTTTATGTATGATTCAGAACATGAATTAGTGATTGAAAACTATGACATTTCTCTAAATTCCCTTCTGCATGCAATAAAAGAACATGCCCAAATCCACCTTAACAGATATATAAAACCAGCATAGTAAAATGTTAATAGTAGAACCTAGGCAGGCAGTGGGCATATGGATATTCACTCTAAAGTTCTTTCAACTTTGCTATATCCTGAAAATTTTTCATAAAATATTGGGGATAAAATTTACCTTACCTCATAATGCAGCATGAAATTTTTATCTTTTATTCCACTATAAACAAAAAGCATAATATTAAAAACATCATATAGATACAAAAAAATAAGTTCAATAAGCAACTAAAAAAGATTTAAGGGGATTTTAAAAAATAATTACATATTAAAGAGAGTTGGTCTGAAATTGAAAACCAGAAGAATTAGAAGGATGAATGTCAGAGACAGTATTTTTTTCTGGGGTTTTATGAATGAATTTTATAGAGATTTAGGAGAACGATTTTGCTTCAAATAGAAATACTTAAATATTCTTTTTTTATTTTTAAAGATTTTATTTATTTATTTGACAGAGAGAGACACAGTGAGAGAGGGAACACAAGCATGGAGAGTGGGAGAGGGAGAAGCGGGCCCCCTGCCGAGCAGGGAGCCCAATGCGGGGCTCGATCCCAGGACTCTGGGATCACGACCTGAGCGCAAGGCAGCCACCCAGGTGCCCCGAAATACTTAAATATTCTATTTGTATACTAAGACAGTAGACAGTTATTTTTAAGCATTAGTAACTACTGAGAGACTCTTAAATGTTATGAACATATCAGTTAAATCTCAGAATTATGATCTTTCTCCCATTAGTATGTGAAATGAAGATCAGTAACTGAAATGATATAGGGGAGAGCAACCAGGAGATCAGACAGGCAAAGATTTTTTTCAGGGTTTGAAATGAGAAATGTTATGACTGAATCTAGAACAATGGGGAAAATAAGAATGAGAAGAAATACAATTCCTGGAAGCAGGAAACCAGACTCATCTTTAACTAAGGAAAAGACTGGCATATACAGGGTCTTAGCAAAAATAGTGTCCCTGTTGGGTGGGTGGAATTACAAAAGGCACCTTTCTGTACAGAGGCTTGAAAAAGTCCTGAGGTAGGGCTGAATCTGCATAACCATAAACCACAGTGTTGGGAAGAGAAATCTAAAAACCTGACTACAGAAGACTAAAGGAATAACAGATCTTGGTGACTAGAGAGGAGGAAATGGATCATTAGTGCAGTACCTGCATTTTACAAGATGAAACCAAAGGCCAGCATGGCTGACTGATATGTGCCCTCTCATTTACATAGGTTACAGACCAAAGATTAGAACATAAAGAGGTACCCTGGCCAAGGCCAGTGCTCTCTTATGAAGCTGTGTTGCCTTTTAGAAGAGAAAGGAGTCAAAGTGAGGAAGGGCAGGGCAACCAAGTCTGGGCTCAGATGGGAATTTTGAGCTCCCCTCAAAAGGATTATTACAATAACAATCTCGCCTATACACACAGCTGCATTGTCAATTTTATCAGATGTGTGAAAAACAATTAGTGATGCTATCCTGAAGATACTGGGGGTTATCCTCATCAGTTGAGCAGTAGGAAGAGGGAGGCAGAGTCTTATGGTCTCCTGAGACCCTTACCAAGAGAAAGAGAAAGGGAAGCAACCCTGGTAGGCACTGAGCAAAGAAAAGAACTGTGGTTGATGCAGTAGTGCTGGTGAGAACTGTAACATAGATTCTCATCATCTGAAATCGATGAACAAGATTTTACTGCTGACTCTTTAGGAACAGAGGAGGAGAGCCAAGTATTTCTGAACATAAATTTCAATGTGACTTGGGTTTAAGTAAGGCTTTTTTTTACTTATTAACAGCCTCCAGATTCTTTTTAGCAACTGAGACTCTTATGTATTTGCTCTCGTTTATAACAGAAAAAGCTACCCATATCTGTCCTGAGGAATGGTTCTAGAGACAGAGACTAAACTGAATGTACCCACGTTAAAAACACCTTAAAAATCACTATTACGTAAACAGAAAAATAAAGTACAGAGATAATTGGTTTAAAAAAGTAGTAATAAACAATAATATACTGTATGAGCTTCAATTATATACTGGAATATCATAACTTACTTTAAAACATAGCAAACATATGTTTTAGGACATACTAACATACTTTAAAACTTACCAAAAAACATAACTTACTTTATGGCTGTTATAATTCGATCTGACTTCATACTGGATTCTAATGAATCAAATGTAACAGTACAAAGCACCTACAATAATAAAAAACCTGTCAGACTTTAATTTACTAACAATGAAGAGGAAAACTAAAACTATTTCAAAAACCCAGTTAGCTATTAAAGAAATGGGATAAGTAAATTCTATACAAACCTTGCCATGCTACTTAATACAGTAAACATTTATTCATTCTATAAATGAGAGTTATGTGCAAATGTCAATAATCCAAAGGTCTAACATCATAGACTACATATGTAAAGCACTGTATTAGAAGTACTGAGGGAGGACAGGAAGAGGAAAGTATGTTTGTAAAACCTGGCTATAAAGGAAGCCCCAATAAAGGTCCAGCCAGGGAGGGAAAAATAAAATAAGATGGGATCAGAGAGGGAGACAAACCGTAAGAGACTCTTAACTATAGGAAACAAACTGAGGGTTGCTGGATGGGGGGAGTGGGTAGGGGGGAGGTGTAACTGGGTGATGGGCATCAAGGAGGGCACGTGATGTAATGAGCATTGGGTGTTATATGCAACTATGTATCACTGAACTCTACCTCTGAAACTAATAATATACTATATGCTAATTAATTGAATTTAAATAAAATTAAAAAAAATAAATAAGTAAAGGTCCAGCCAATAAAACGGCCTACTTAAAAAAAATCCAATCTTCTTTGGAGGAACATAATGTAATCCAAACTCAACAATGCATCATTCACAACATCCAAGATACACCCTACAGAAAAATAGGAAATGGTACCCATTCTCAAGAAAAAAAATAATGAGTAGATTGCCCCGAGCTAATTCAGATGTTGGATTAACAGACAAGGATTTTCAATAGCTCTTATAATTATGCTGAAAGATATAAAGAAAAACAAATGGAAATTCTAAAACTTAAAGATACATTATCTTATGATGGAAAGGAGATGACAAGAGTCAGTGAACATGGAGATGGATTAACAGAAATTGCCAAATCTAACGAACAAAGAAGGGGTGTGGGGTGGGGTAGGGAAAACATATCTTCAGGGACCTGTGGGACAATTTCCAAAGCATTAACATATATACTTACAATCTCATAAGGAGAGATAAGAGAATAAGGTAGAAAAAATATTTGAAGAAATTATAGCTGAAATCCCTAAAGTTTGTTGAAAGACACAAATTTATAGGTTCAAGCTTAGGAAACTCTTAGTATGATAAATATAAAGAAAAGTACACTTTTCATAGTTATATTGTTGAAAACCCAAACAGAAAGAAAATCTGGAAAGCACCCAGATGAAGACAATAAATAGAAAACAGGGAGCAATGATTTGAATGCATCCTTTTTATAAGGAAAAAAAGAAAAAATAAAAAAGAGTGGAACATTCTTTTAAGTGCTAAAAGAAAAAAGCATCAGCCCAGAATCTAAATCTTGCAAAAAACATTCTTTGCACATAAAGGCAAAATAAAGACATCTTCAGATAAATAAAATACAAGAATTTGTTGTCAGAAGGCCCACAGGACAATAGTAAAAAAAGTCTTATCAGATTGAAGGAAACAATACTAGATGGAAACTTGGATCTTCAGAAAGAAATACAAAGCATCAGAAATTATAAATACAGGGCGCCTGGGTGGCTCAGTTGGTTAAACGACTGCCTTCAGCTCAGGTCATGATCCTGGAGTCCCGGGATCGAGTCCCACATCGGGCTCCCTGCTCAGCAGGGGTCTGCTTCTCCCTCTGACCCTCTTCCCTCTTGTGCTGTCTCTCATTCTCTCTCTCTCAAATAAATAAATAAAATCTTAAAAAAAAAAAAAAGAAAGAAAGAAATACATAGGTCAATAAAAAAGACTATCTTTTCCCTCTTAACTTTTGAAAATACATGATTATTTAAAATACAAATTATAACACTGCCTTGTGGAGTTTATAATATGTAGATGTAACTCATAAGACAACTACAGCATAATGTGTGAAGTAGTACAAAAAGTTAAGGATATATACTGTATTCTCTATAGTAACCACTAAAAAAATAATGCAAAGGTATAGCTAAAAAACAAAGAGACATATTAAAATTGAATTTTAAAAATATTCAGTTAATCTAAAAAGAAGGCAAAATAGAAAAATAAAAAACAGAGGGGGCAAACAAAAACAAATAATGACAGGCTAAATTCAATCACATCAATAATTAAATTGAACATTAATGAACTAAATAAACACTCTTCAAAAGCTGAGACTGTCAGAATAGCTAACAGAAGTATGCAGGATATCTTAATGGAGTTATTTTAAAAAATTTATTAAAAGGCATAAAAGAAAACCTGCATCAAGAGTGATACTGTTTATTGAAAAGACTGTGATTTAAACTGTAAAAATAAAATTTCTCTCAAGTTAATTTATAAATTCAGTGCAATACCAATCTAAACAAAGATTTTTTTTTCCCCCAGAACTTAATATAATACTAAAATTCAAATGAAGGAACAAATGTACCAGAATAGCTAAGATAATTCTGAGGGGCAGGGGAGAATAAAAAAGGGAAGATTTGCTTCTCATCTATTAACATACCTGCAAACCATAGTAGCTAAAACAGTGTTACACTGGCCCAGGAAATTCACAGAACGATGGAAGAGAATATAGTTCAAAAACGTGTTTATAAACTTTGAATACAGATACATTGACATTATAAGTCAATGGAAAAAATGAATTATTAGTAAATGTGTTGTAAAATTGGCTCACTCTGGAGGTTTTCATCTCACACCATATCTAAGAGTAAACTCCAAGATAGATTAATGGTCTAATAGCTACAACTAGAAAGTTAATAGAAAAACTAGATGCCTAATTTTGTGACTTTGGGGGTAAGGAAAGATTTCTTAAATAAGACTTTAAAAACACAAATCACAAAATAAAAAAGGGAAGGATTAACAACATCAAAACTAAAGATTTCAGGTTCACTCTAGACAAAGTAGGCTACCACAAGCAAAGTTAAAAGGCTTATGATAAAGAGGGAGATAATATACTCAAATTCTGGTTACTGAAAAGGATTAATGTTTGAAACACATAAAAAAAAAACACTTAAAATAGGAAGAAAAAAGGATACAACCAGATAATTCACAAAAGAACAAACCTGAACCAGGGCCACCATATTGCTCAAGTTCAGGGACACTATCCATGTGACAAGAGAGCCCTGGAGGGTGTGCAGGCCCCCAGGGTATGATTTATGCACTGACCACGTTGACTGGCTATGATATAGAGATCCTCAGCCTCACAGGGAAATACAAATGAAAGCAAGGAATACCACTTGGTCCCGATTTGATTGGCAAAATTAAAGTAGTGATTAATATAAGAAAAAGAAGGAGGTATAAAGCAAATACCATACACAAAACAATGGATACACATATATGTTAAATACAAGAGAACAGGTGCTAATGTAAGGGAAAAAAATAGGACTGAGGTATAGGCTAAATAGAGAAAACAAATGAGGGCCCTGAATAGACCAAAAATAGACAATATGCCATACACTAAATTTTGTGCATCAAGATTAAAAGAAAAGTATGATAAAGATACCAGGTAATTCTAGAAAATGCAAACCGATTTATAGTGACAAAAGCAGATCAACAGTTGTCTAAGGAATGGGAGGGAAGCAGGAAGAAGGGATTATAGAGAGGCAGGTGGAAACTTTTGAGGGTGATCGATATGTTCATTACCCCAGTTGTATACACGTGAAAATCTATTAAACATACACTTTAAATATGTGCAGTTTCTTGGATGGCAATTATACCTCAAAAAAGCTGTTAAAAATATTTTTAAAAAATCAGGTATTAACAAATTCCATGATAAAAATCTATAGTCTCTACATAATATACTTCTATTAGATCTAATTAAGCAACCCAGAATCAGCAAATAATTATAGCGTTTTACATATATTACCTGTGTTTGTCCCCTCTGAAATAATGCTGATCCATGAAGAGTTTTAAACATATCTACCTCACAATTTATATTCCTAAGTGAAGTCAAATCTCGACCATCGCACCTATAGTAATAAAGAAGTATGTAAAGCAGTGTTCAAAATCAGAAATATCACCTATTATCTCTTATTCCTACCAGGAAGTTCTCAATCCCAATTGTGTATCGTATCACCTGTGGAGCTTTAAGAACTTTAAAAATAATACAGGTATCCGATCCCCACCCTAAATCCCACTGAATCAGAATCTCAGGTTGTGACCCATACACTTGTACTGTTAAAGAAGTTCTACAGGCAATTCTGACGTGTATTCAGGGTTGTGAAGCACTGCTCCACACATAAGTCCCATAGAGAAACAGACACATCCACACACTCTTCAAAACCCATTTATGAAATATCATAATTCTTTAATGTTCACTTGAAAAAACCAGTTCCTTGCTTTGTGCAAGTTGCCACTTTCAACGCAACTTACAGAGGCACATACTTCAATTCCATCAAAAAAGCGTATATTTACCTTTTGTATTCATTCAAAATAATACTTCTAAAAACTTCCTTTGCAACAACATTGAAGGATTCTATTATTTCATATGTATCAGCCTCTGGAAATTTTTCTATAGAAAGAAAGACAAACCAAAACAAAAGTTTTCTCTTTTTGGAAGATAAGATTTCTCTTCAATTCATTGTATCAAATCAGTTAACTATGGGAGTAAACCAAGGGAGTTGATACTGAACTATTTAGTCCTCAAGCAAACAAAGTAGATAAATTAAATATTCTCAAGTAGGAGAGACACAAGTATTATACCTCAAACATATTGTTATTGAGAACTTAATTTGCTTTTTACCAGAACAACAGTGCTTTGTAATTAGCTTTCTATTGTATTATGTTACTAACAAATCCAGCCATTTTATAAAAAGGTCTGAGTGACACTTTTCTGATTAAGAGTAATCACCTTCAATGTTTTACCTTAGGAACTTTTTTCTTAGTCTGCAAATAGAGAAATAATTTGCTTTATACGTTACAAATCCCTACTGGCTGCCTTTTTAGTTAACATTTATCAAATTCTTTCAGGACCCATGTACTATACATGTTTTTTTAAATGCCTTTAATCTTTGTAACAACTTATGAGGTATATTCTATTCTTATCACCATTCTAAAGAAGAAAATACAGCCTTACAAAGTAAATTGCCTGAGATCACACAGGCAGTTGACAGATACAGCTGTGAACTGAATACAGGTCTGTCTGCCTGCCTAGGCTTATGTTTTTAAATGTTAAGCTACTTTATCAACTGATTCATGCCAAGTCTTAAGCAATGTTCTCTTAAGCATTTGTTTTATTAAATATAATTTCTAGAGAGCTAAATTCTCTAAAATCTGAATTTTACAATTCCACATATTAATAACAGCATCAGTTAACATTTTTTGAATACTTGGTATGTAGCAGGCACAAATTCAGATGACTTACCTATTTAATCACCATAAACCAGATATTATCAGTATTACAGTTTCACAGATTAAGAACTCAAGAATTTTAAAGAGTTATTTTTCAGATTTTCAAATGACATGATACAAAGTTTTCCATCATAGAGTGTAAGAACTTGATCCAGAAAAGATTGGGAATATTTCACATTCAACATTTCAAGTGCAGTGCTGACTAAATTCACAGAAGTTAAAGATTTTATTCATTTATTTATTTGTGAGAGAGAGAGAGAGAGAGAGAGAGCAAACATGCATGTGTATGAGCAGGGGGTGGGGGGCAGAGGGAGAGAATCTCAAGCGGACTTGGCACTGAGCCCCATGTGGGGCTTTACCTCATGATTCTGAGATATGACTTGAGCTAAAATCAAAAGTCAGATACTTAACCAACTGAGCCACACAGGTGCCCCTCACAGAAGTTAATTTTTTTTTTTAAAGATTTTATTTATTTGACAGAGAGAGAGAGAGAGCACAAGCAGGGGGAGCAGCAGGCAGAGGGAGAGGGAGAAGCAGGCTCCCCGCTGAGCAGGGAGCCTGATTCAGGGCTCGATCCCAGGACCCTGAGATCATGACCTGAGCCGAAGGCAGACGCTTAACTGACTGAGCCACCCAGGCGTCCCTCACAGAAGTTAATTTAACAGTAACCTTGGGATGCATCATTATTGTGAGTTTACCAAAAATAAAACTAAGGAACAAGGAAAATAACTGATTCTCTGAGGTCTTACAACTGAAATTTTAAGAAATCCATTTTTCCCTTTAAATATTTAGTTAAATTAATAGAGCAAAGTTTACCTTTTAGTTGTTCCTCTGTATCTAATCTTATCTTGTTAACAGCTTCATCTCTGGAAATCTAAGAGAGGTGAGGTGAGGTTCAGTATACATGGCCATATTTAACATTTCTATTTTTACATTATTATACAAATAACACATTGTAATAGTACTCAGATTTCTCTACTGGTAGTATTCTTTAAAAGATTAGAGCTAGATACTGATTTATAAGAAATATTACCTGTTTAATTCATTCAAATATATTTACACACTACCCTAAAACTTGCATTAATCAACAAAAGGAGAATGGAGAAGCAAATAACTAGGCTTCTCTTTAGCTTTCTGTTTAGATTTTTAATAAAAATTCATAAGATTATGTGAATTATGACAAAAAAGAATTCCCAGAACAATTATATAAGACAAAATTCAGGTATACCTACTTTATCATGTTCATAATCAGTAAAAACTGCATAGAGTCTTCCCATGGCGAGTCTATTTTAAGCACAAAATAAATGTCAGCATAATAATCTTGTTAATAGTATAATTATAAACAAAATTGCAATATTTAATAGTAAGCTAAAATATTTAATAAGCATTTCATAAAGAATTTTAAAAATGTATTTATTGTTCTTTAACACAGCTAATCTGTTTACTATTTATAATACAGTATACCAAATCTCTTTCTCTCCATCTGTCAGGGAAATCACTCACACATGGTACTATGCCCTCTCTTTTTTTTTTTAAGATTTTATTTATTTGACAGAGAGAGACATAGGGACAGCAGGAACAGAAGCAGGGGGAGTGGGAGAGGGAGAAGCAGGCTTCCCGGCGAGCAGGGAGCCAGATGCGGGGCTACCTTCTTTTTTTTTTCCTCTTAACATATATTGCATTATTTGTTTCAGAGGTACAGATCTGGGACTCAACAGTCTTGCACAATTCACAGCACTTACCAGAGCACATACCCTCCCCAGTGTCTATCACCCAGTCACCCCATCCCTCCCCCCCCACCCCCCACTCCAGCAACCCTCAGTTTGTTTCCTGAGATTAAGAATTCCTCATATCAGTGAGGTCATATGATACATGTCTTTCTCTGTCTGACTTATTTCGCTCAGCATAATACCCTCCAGTTCCATCCACGTTGTTGCAAATGGCAAGATCTCATTCCTTTTGATGGCTGCGTAATATTCCATTTTGTGTGTGTGTGTGTGTGTGTGTGTGTGTGTGTATATATATATATACCACATCTTCTTTATCCATTCATCTGTCGATGGACATCATGCCCTGCCCTCTCTTCTTAATTGTTCAATTTATTTCACCTTAGATTTTTCTTACACACAAACTTTCTCTCCCCACTCTTTTTTAACTTCTTGCTTTTTTCTATTCTATCCACTTTGGCGGTTATTGCAGGCAACTGTTTTGTTGGGGACAGTTTACATCTCTTTAGTCTCTGACTGATGGCTGTAAGACTGATACTAAGGGAAATATTAACTTTTTCAATTTATTTGAAATAAAATGAAATACTTTTCTGGTAATTTCATTCATACTTAGTGCATGCTTATGTGCTGGCACTATTTTAAGCACTGGGCATGTAGAGGTGGTTATACTTGATTTCTTTGCAAGAACCTCAACAGTTTCCTTAGATATTCAAATATCTTATGATTTGTTCTTTTTCCTTGACACAGAGAGAGATGCGGATTATCTGAATCTTAACCAATAAAGTCCCTCCCCCTTTCATTTGAGATTCAAACTTAGGCCCTTGAAGTGGGAACTGGGTTTATCCTTTTTAAAGCATTAGATTGGTATTTATGTCCCTCACTTTTAAAATAGAAGAGTGCTATATAGGAAGTAATGCATGGACTATGTTTCCATGGGAAGTTTTTTTCTGAGAGGAAATTAAATCTGGTAACAACTTCAAATTTTCTTTTGTACAGATATTCTTACTTATGAGTGTGTTCCACAATCTCTGGTGAAGGGGTAAATAACTTCTGAGGTGTCCTCTTGGTAATACCAATTTCTTTTACCAACTGCTGGATGCCCTGAATTATTTGTTGGGTATATTTTACCCCCACTTTAATAGCATGGCAAAAGTCCTGTTGTAAAATGTTCTCTGCAGAGGCTTCCATCATCACTAAAGAGGGGAAAAAAAAAAGATTGTCATTGAATCTTTTACCAGTATAGCATTTTTAAGCACCTTGACACGACATAAATACTGCAGATCAGTTTTGCTTATTAATGGTAAATCTACCTTTTTAATTTCTTTCCTTAGAATCAACATACTTCCAAAATGTAAACAGCAGTAAAGAATAAAGAAACCTTCATATTTGAAATTAGGTTTACAATTTTCTTGAATTTAATAAGGGATTTCTCATTAAAAAATGAAACAAAATAAACTATGCATACTTATTAAATAACAGTTTTGAGATATAATTCAAATACCATAAAATTCCACCTTTAAAGCATACAGCTGCACTTATTTTTAATATGTATTTAAAATGAAATTTTAAAATATCAGCATAATAGGAATCCAATAAATGTTTTCTGTTTAACAATTATTTGATGTGACCTCCTACTTAATTCTGTCATTGTCACATTGTCTAATGCTTGCACAGGTGGGGGGAAATCTTTTGCAAAATCTTTTATGGTTTTGTGATAGTAAAACTCCTGCGTAAAGCAGGGAAGCTCCAAGTAGCACTTCTAGCATGGTATCCAGTAAAATCTGCTATTCAGGTTTGGCTTTGGTTTCTGCCAGGCTGCTAGATTCCTGCCTACTCATGTCATTTCTGGCCCTTCTCAATTTGTACAGCCAAAGATCATGTAATGCATAGGTAACTATCATATTTAATATTAACCACATCATGTTGTCATTAAGATTTATTATTATCTAAATCATCACTTGTAAAGCTTCTAGGTATAATCTAGAATGAAAAAAATCTCCTTATGTGCTTTGTATTGTATGTTGGAATTCCAACAGCCAATTGAAGCCGACCTGTGAAACTAAAACAAAAGATCTAACATTTGTGTCATCTGAGTTCCAGAAAGAGAGGATAAAGATGGCAGGCTGGAAAGTACTAGAAAAATAATAGCTGAAAACTCCCCAAATTTGGCAGAGACCTAAACATACAGATTCAAGAAGCTGAGTAAACCCTGTATAGGGTAACCCAAAGAAATACATATCCTAATTAAACTTCTGAAAACCAAAGACAAAAAAAATCTTGAAACCAGCCAGAGAAAAACACAACCTCATCCATATGGGAAAAGCAATTAAAGTAACAGATTTATCATTAGAAATCATGCAGGTCGGAAGGGAGTGGCATAATATTTTTTAGGTGCTGAAAGAAAAAAACTGTCAACCCAAAATCCTATACCCAGTGAAAATATTTAGGGAATAAAGGAAAGAAGGAATGCATATTTAGGAATGAATTGAGACTCTTAGATGGAGAATTAAGAAAATTTGTCACCGGCAGACCTACCCTAAAAGAATGGCTAAAGGAAGTTCTCTAAACAGAAACAATAAAAAAAGAAACCACGGAATATCAGGAAGGAAAAGTACTGTTAAGCAAAAATGTGGGTAAATACAATATACTTTCTTCTCTTGAGTTTTTTAAATTACGTTCGATGGTTGAAGCAAAAGCAAAAATTATAACATGGCCTGTTGTGGTTCTAAATGCAGAGGAATATTAAAATGATTATATTACAAATGGGGGAGGGTAAGGCAAAGTAAGGTTTCAATACTTCACTTGAGGCATAAAGCAGCTTTTCTGACACGATACTGAGATTGTACTTATATTATTATTCTCATCAGTATTCCCATGACATCCTCTCTCACTTTTTGCAGAATTAAACTGGAGATTTTTAAAAATGCATTTGACATGTAAATTATACCTCAATAAGTTGATTTAAAAGAGAATATGAAAGGAATAATATGGTAAGGAAAATTAATATTCCTCAGACTTTGTTTTCATTAAACTTCAATTCATTTTTAAAAATATAAGAAAATTCCTTATGGTTTTGTGTCTATAGACTTGTGCTGTCCAATTTGGCAATTACTAGCTCCATGTGGTTATTTGCATTTAATTAAAATTGTGTAAAATTAGGGCGCCTGCGTGGCTCAGTTGGTTAAGCGACTGCCTTCGGCTCAGGTCATGATCCTGGAGTCCCGGGATCAAGTCCCGCATCGGGCTTCCTGCTCGGCAGGGAGTCTGCTTCTCCCTCTGACCCTCCTCCCTCTCATGCTCTCTGTCTCTCATTCTCTCTCTCTCAATAAATAAAATCTTAAAAAATAATAATAATAATAAAATAAAATAATTGTGTAAAATTAGAAATTCGGTTCCTTAGCTACTCTAGCCATATTTCAAGTACACAGTAGCCACATATTCAGATATAAAACATTTACTTAATTGCAGAGTTCCACTGGACAGCACTGCCATGTAGACTAAAAATTTACACAGAAAAAGGTGGTCTAAATGATTTCTGTTAAACTTTCAGTAGTTGAAGGTTAAAGATTTTTTTTTAAAGGTTTTATTTACTTATTGAGAGAGAGAGAGTGTGTGTGAGAAACAGCATGAGAGGGGAGAAGGTCAGGGGGAGAAGGAGGCTCCCCGCTGAGCAGGGAGCCCGATGTGGGACTCGATCCTGGGACTCTGGGATCATGACCTGAGCCAAAGGCAATCACTTAACCAACTGAGCCACCCAGGTGCCCGAAGATTAAAGATTTTTGAGATTAGCTGAAAACTATGAATTCTAGATAAAAATTTCTTCTTAAAAATTGTTACTGATATACTTTTTCCTAAATTCTATCCTAGCATACATAGAAAGATGAGTGATATTAAATGTACCAGTTGAAAACAAGCAGAATGTGCAGAACGATGGCTGCCGAAGTCATCTAGCAGCCAACAGCACAAAGAAATTATTCTTGCCCTTTAAGGTCATACTTTAAAGATTTGGATTACTAAATATTTTAATAATGGAATGGCAGCAATTACTTTTTTGTATTTTTGTATCCCAGAAGTTCCATGATGGGACTTGGGCCCAATATTAACTTTGACAAGGGACATGAAGTCAAATGTATATTTGGTGCACTATTATGAAAGCAGAGAAGTAGCTGAATATCTTCATGGAAACAGTGATGCAAAAGACCTAAAATGGAGGCTGGTAATTTCTGAAACCAGTCTCCTTACAGGTTGCTTCTGAATCATTCTCAGTCTCCTAGTTACTCAGAACAACCTTCTGATGCTTTCTTTATGCAGTTTCTAGAGTCTAATTTGTCCAACTAGAGAGCAAGAAGTAAGAAGAGCAAGCTAGAAGTTGCCTATGGGGTTTTTACAGCATGCCACAGATGCAACAAAGATCCTCAGTTCATTCCTCCAAGATCTCCATAAAATTAGAGGGGTTTCAAAGTCTAAGGCAGGTAGAGGCTATATACTTATGGCCATTCAGAAGCAAGTTTATTTCTTTGTCTTAATGATAACAGCAGGTATTAACAGTATGCCTACTAGATACTAGGTATTATGCTTGGCATTTTACAAACCCTGACTCTAATCTTCACAAAAACTCTATAAAGTAGCCAAATCAATTTACTAAGTGAAAGTAATGAACACTGTAACTTCAAGCAAAAAAAATTTCAGATGCAGACCAAGTAAACTTGAGACAGTAAACCAATACTCTGCTCTGGGATGCTCAAATATGTAGGGGTCATCTGTTATTCATGGCTTCCCCAAATTTTTGGAATGTTCTCTCTACATTGTGATAGTTTCCCACAGTAAGAATCTCACCTTCAGGAGCTAGAATCCAACAATCCATTTCCTTGCTTCCCCTGTATTCAAGAATGCAATCATGTGTTACAGTTCTGCCTGGTGTGATATAAGTGAAAGTGAAAATTGCTATGTGGGGGCTCTTAAGAAAGCTCCTTGAAAGGGAGGGTGACTCACTCAGCTGGCATACACCTTTTTGTTATTCCCCTCTTTTTTCTTCCTCTTGCCTATAAATCAGATAAGTTGGCCAGAGCTCCAAAAGCAAGTTCATAAGCATAAAGATGAAGGCCACACCTTGAGGATAGCAGAGCAGAAAACTGGCATGGAGCCAGGGGCGCCTAGATGGCTCATTTGGTTAAGCGCCCAACTCATGATTTTAGCTCAAGTCATGATCTCATGGTCATGAGATCGAGCCCTGGGACGGGCTCCATACTCAACCTGGAGTCTGCTTGAGATTTCCTCTGCCCCTCCCCCCACTGACCCATGCACGCTCCTGTGTACTAATTAATAATATCTTTACCAAAAAAAAAAAAAAAAGATATCATGGAGCCACTATAACTGTCCTGGACTCCCTTGTTACTTTAGCAACACAATCCCTAACTAATCTACTAATATGTAGATAATGTACAACTCATGTGTTTTATCTACCATATAGTACCTTATTCTATTTCCATTACTGACCAGTATTCCAAAAGAAGCTGGAAATGTGTTTCACACATTAATTGTACACAAAACTACTAAAAGCTTAATAGTTTATATTTTATCAAAATATTCCCACATCAGAAGATCCCATGTCAAAAAGTCCCGGACATCAAATATCACACAGTAGAATAAACTTATGGGACCTTAATTAATTTGTCCAAGGTTACACAGTTAACTGTGTGATAGCTGCTGGGTTTCAAACACAGGTCATTCTGACTGTCAAAGCCAATTCTCCTTCAAGAGAACTGGGCCAATTTTCATTCATGCAATTATGACATTTTTGTTACGAGGAGTGAGGGTGACCTATGGTCAGTGCATTTCTTCTTTATTAGTTTTCTACCTACCAAAAATAGGTCACCTTTTTCTCAAAGGACATTAAACAGGCTCTAAATGATGAATTAGCTAAATTAACATATTTAAACTAATAAAACTATTACCAGATTTAGAAATTCCATTTTTAGACTAGCTTATTAGTCTAAAAATAATTACCAGAACTATTTTGGCAAATAAAGATTTTTGTCTATTTCAATTAAAGTTATATCACTTTTTTTTTTTTTAAGATTTTATTTATTTGTCAGAGAGCAAGCACACAAGCAGGGGGACAGCAAGGAGAGGGAGAAGCAGGTTCCCCACTGAGCAAGGAGCCCGATGCAGGGCTCAATCCTAGGACCCTGATATCATGACCTGAGCTGGAGGCAGATGCTTAACCAACTGAGCTACCCACGCGTCCCAAAGCTGTATCACATTCTATAATTTAGGTATTGTTTGTTATGAAGCAAGAGCACCACCAAAATAGGGCAACAATAAAACAGAACAAAAATCTTTATGGCTAAGTGACAAGACATACATACACAGGAATATAAATGCATTTTTTTTTTTTTAAAGATTTTATTTCTTTATTTGACAGAGAGAGACACAGCGAGAGAGGGAGCACAAGCAGGGGGAGTGGGAGAGGGAGAAGCAGACTTCCCGCCAAGCAGGAGCCCAATGCGGGGCTCGATCCCAGGACCCTGGGATCATGACCTGAGCCGAAGGCAGACGCTTAACGGCTGAGCCACCCAGGCGCCCCTAAATGCATTTTTAAGAAGCCAGAACTTATAAGTAAAATCCAGAAAAAATGTTCTACTTAAACTACTTACCAATTTGACTTTTAGGTGCTCCAGCAACCACCAAATTTAAAGTACTAGAAGACATTTCTTTCCGTGTTGGGTTAACAACACACTCTCCATCAATCATTCCTATTCGCACTGCCCCTAAAATATATCAAAATATGGGCAGTTGTGTAATAAAAAGTCTCAGTTTTCAAGACATTATTTCAGTGATAGCTTCAATCCCTATTCTTCAATTGTGACTACAATAAAATCTGTATTTCTACCATGGTATTTAAGGCCCACAGAACATCCTACCCCACCCTACCTAACAGCCTCACTGGAGCACTCTGTGTTGCTTAAATACATTATTTTTTTTTCCATACCTCTGTGATTATGCTCGTGCTCTTTTCCTGGGCTAGACTATACTTTTTCCAAGGCAAATGCTTACCATTTGATCCTACTAAGGTTCAGCTTTAATGTTGAGTACTCTGAGAAGCCGTCCTTGACAACCTGACTTCAAAAGACTAAACCCAATCTTCTCTATCATTTTTTTTTTTAGCATTTTTACTATACCTTTATAATACTGTTTATAAATAATTATTTGTTTCTCCTACTTATGTTGAAAGCAAGAACTATTCCTAGACTGCCTTTCTTCCTTCAGTTCTTAGCTTAGTATCTGACATTTAGGATATTCAAAAATTATTTACTCGATGAATCATTTTTATATTGGATGATTACAACCTGTAAGAGTTGTAAGTTATAAACATATTTGTTTTATTCTGAAAGACTATGTACTCTAACAATTTCCTATTCCCCACCCCCGGCCCAACACACCGAAAGTCCTTAAACAGAGAGACAACTAAGAAGTCAAAGTATCTAGGAACATAAAGTCTCTAACACCATAACATATCGCTATCAAAAACAAAACCTAAGGCAAGGATGAAAATATCTCAAGGAGCTAAAAGGAGTCTTAGAATGTCATCTAATTTAACTCCCTACGAGATGTTAAATCAGAGCTAATAAAGCTATGCTTTTGCTATTGCATGCTCACTAGTATTTCAAGAAAAAACATGTTTCTTATTTTCAAATCCTAACTTACCAATAGGTCCATTCCAAGGAATATCTGATAATGAGAGAGCTACAGAAGCTTAAAAAAAAAAAAAAAGAAAAAAAATAAGAACTGAGGTAAAAAGATTTCATTCCTTTAAAAAGACAGTGATAATTTTAATCTCGATTTTTATACTTACCACCATTAATTGCTAAAACATCAGGTTCATTAACACCATCTACTGCTAACAGATTACAAAGTACCTGGTACAAGGGAAAAAATTCAGAGCACTTAAAAAAAAATCTACTTGATTTAGGAGGATTATCATTTTGGTTAACATTTTGGGCTAAAATAAAGGGGAACCTATGTGGTTAAAAGCATGAGCTTTGTAGTCAAACCCCTTATTTCTGGCTATCATTTAACTATATGCTTGACTATGGCAAATTACTTAAGCCTCAAAAGTTTCTCACCTTTAAAAGGAAAAAATAATAGCATTTTCTTAAAAGGTTTTGTGAAAATTATAGGAAATATTATTTGTAAAGCATTTACAATACTGGGCATGTTGAAAATATTCAGTAAATGTTAGCTATTTCTAGTACACAAAAATATTGTTTTCTGTTTATAAGCATATACAAAACGAACTGATAAATTCCTTTATACTGCAATAATATGCCTATGTCATGTACTTAAGAAAACAACTTATTAAAAAAAGAGAAAAAACAACTACTTGAGGCAGTGACATCCTTGCAAAGGCGTATTTGCAAGGCATATTTATTTTTATGAAATAAAAGTTCATTAAAGCATATGGGTCATTCTGAAAGAGAATAATATTCACAAAATAATAAAATAAAGTAGAAGTTTAGAGGACCCAATAAAATAGGTAATAAAGACTAGTTCTATCAATTGTCCTAGCCTCTGACACTAATATGACTTAACAGGTCCCAATAGGGTCTGTCCCCACCTTCCTTAATCACTTTAAACTTTAAAACTCACCAGTTTGTTTCCTGCCTGTGGGCTTTTGTGCTTCCCATTCCATCTGCTCAGAATGCTTCCCCCACACTCCTAGGTTGGCTAACTCCTACTCATAATTCAGGTATCAACTCAAATTGACATTGAATAAATATGAATTTTTAAAATTATTGTTTTTTAAAAAGCTTAATGTAAAATGCAGCATTACCAAAAATTCTTATTTTGTGTTCTAATGTTTAGTCTAAGTAGTATTATAGAAATTCATTAAGTAATTTTTGATTGATCTGGAAACAAATAAACCTAAAGCAGAATCTACCTGTGTATCATAAAAGTAGCCAGCTGGAAAGAGAGGTCTAATTGAACGATCTGCCAAAAGAAAAAGAAAAGACACTAAATAGTACTGACAAAAGTCGCTTTACAGTTTGCCCTTTTCCCCTATAGCTAGCTGTTCAATATGTTAAAAAGAAATTCCCTTGGACTGATTTACTGAAAGGGTCATAGATACATATCAATGCTTCAATTAATATATACCATGACCTAATAACAAAAAATTAGCAGGGCAGCAACACACAAGTATAAAATTGGGCAACAACTTTTCATTTTGGTTCCATAGGTATCAGTTACATATATAAACAAAGCAAAGAGACTTAAGGCCAGCAGCAGACCAAAAGAAAATCTTTCCTTGGTATTCTCTGTCTGAAAAATGCATATAAATATACACTAACAATTTCTGTATAGAAGAGCTATAAACTCAAATGATCCCACAATATTTAAGGATGTCAAAGACTTGAAAGATTACAGGTGTATTTCGGTAGTTGATGAATATAATGCTATCAGAAATTACTATGCTGAATATGAAAATGAAAAATACTAGGGGTAGATTGAACATAGTAGTAGAGGCACGAGCCACAGAATTTATATGCTCAATAGAGATTCATTCATTTCATCGACATGTATTTACTGAATGCCTATTTTGTGCCAGGTAGTATAACAAGTACCCAGGATTCAGTAGTGAACAAACACTTTTTTCTTTCCTGGAGCCCACATCTGAGTGAGGGGATACAGAAAGTAAATAATCTCAGGCAGTGTTAATGTAATGGAAGAAAATTTAAAAGAACTGTAGAATATAGATAGAAGAAATGCTAACACAGGCATAACAGAGTTAATGCCTCTTACTATCTTACCTATTACTCGACTTGTAAGAATTTCTTTATCAGAAGATCCAATCTCTCTTCTGAGATAGTTTGTGGGAATTCTACCTGCTGCAGCAGCCTTCTGTCTATAGTCAACCTGAAGTAGTATTGAAAAAAAAAATGAAGTTCATTTGACTCCTTTTTATGGCAACAAACTATTTCCCAAGAACAACTATACAGATACTAATTCTCCTGAGGTTGCTAACAACACGGTCCAGATTAAGAATGAAGGTTATTTTATTTACTTTTAGCATTCTGTATCTCTTTGGGAAGGGAAAACTGATAGAAATATTTCAATAAACTGATTTTTAAAAAGACTTCCGCTTAGCAGTGGACTACGCAGCCTCATTATTTCCCACAGTGGCTTATTCTGGTCAAATCAAACATTCCCTTTTTTGTATCAACTCTGTTACATAAAACTGCATTCTCGTTTTCATAACAGAAAGAAGCCATAAACTCCCAAAGCACTCCTTACTCTTCACCAAACATACACTTGCAAACTCATACTGAAGGGAAACCTATGAAAGCAATGAATTCACTGCTATTCAAGATCAAAATCTTCATGCACTTCACTGTTCTTATCAACCTGGACATTCTAAAGCATGCTTACTACTAATATGAGAATTGGTTATGAGGCAGTTGGTCTAAATTCTTTTAATGACAGTATCAAACGACAAAAGAAAATCCTTTGTTGTGTGACGTTTACACTGTGCACTCGTTAGACATTAGACAAAAATATTACAAATTCTACATTTATGCCATATTACTGTTCAGATAAATCAGCAAATACTTACCACCAAAGGCATGAACTGGGAAAGTGAAGGTTTTGTTTTACTGACCGCTGTGACCATCACCGCAGTGTCACCTGACTTAAACATAAACAACAACATGGGCAAATTCCTTAAAAACCAGACATTAACCTCTAGTGAGTAGTGAATGAATGAGTAGTGAGTGAATGAATCCTTGCTCCAGTTAAATGCAAGGAAAGAGAACTGTTATTCCATGACACAATGATAATGAAAATAACTAATCACAACTAGTCCAATCTTGATCCCTTTTACGAAATCAAGAAAAGGCTTACTGCTAGCTTAGTCACAAGCAATCATATTTTCTACTTCTTAAGAAGAAATTTAGGCTATATAAAAAGAAAAATTTATCACAATTAAAGAAAACAGTAAAATCACTTTCTATAGAGAAACATTACAGAATTTATTAACAGAATAAAACAGAACCCCAGGTTTCAAAGAGATCTTAAAGGTCATTTAGTATATCCAGCCCTCTGACTCCCTGGTTCTCTGAAATGGTTCTGAAACTAGAAATGGTCTGCATTAACTTACACTACCACAGTTCTAAGAAGTGACATAATGTTGTAAAGATAATTAGTAGCAGTCTCCATAACCATTTTTAAGATGAAAATTTAAAAATGTGGACTTTTTACCTGTACTACAGCAGAGCCATCTGCAAATCTGGCCAGTTTTCCAGAGGATATTTCTAGTTTTCTGTTTAAAAATAAATATTCAATACAAAAGGACTCAGGTCATCAATACAAATCCCAGCTCAGTATAAAATAATCTAAGATTCTAATAGAAGAACCAAGCCACACAGGCCCCCACCCAGCAAAAAACAAAAAAGGGATAGAATTCACAATCGTTATTAAAAGTACCAGGGGAATTTAAGACCTGCTTAAGGAAAAATACAGAAACCAAGGCATAGGAAAAATCTGAATGAGAGATAAAGTACTTGGGGGTGCAGGAGCTGTGTTCCTAAATGTTGATTCCCATTTACAACCTTTGTTTAGTGTGTCATCTCTTGCCTTGTTGATAAAAGTAGCCTTTTAACAGACAAACAGGATAATATCTCTACTTAAAATCCTTTAAAGTATCCCCCAGTACTTTCAGGACAAAATATAAATTTCCTAAATATTGCCTACAGAGACATTCATGTTCAGCAATGGTGCCAAGACAAGTCAATGGTTGGGGAAGAATAGCCTTTTCAACCAGTAGTGCTGAGACAACTAGATACCCATATGCAGACAAGTTAACAAGGTTAACTATAAAAAAAAAAACTAACTCAAAATGTAGTATAGACCTAAATGTAAGAGCTAAAACTATAAAATTCTAAGGAAAACACATAGGAGTAAATCTTCATAAACTTGGGTTAGACAATGTCTTATATAGGACATCAAAAGCACAAGCAACAAAAGAAAAAATAAATTGTACTTCATCAAAATTAAAAATTTTCTTGTTTCAAAGGGTATCAAGAAAGTGAAAGAAAACCCACAGAATAAAAGAAAATATTTGCAAATCACCTGATGAGGGACTTGTATCTAGAATATGTAAAGAATACTTATAACTCAATAAAAAACCAACCTAATTTTAAAATTGGTGAAGGATTTGAATAGAAGTCTATACAAAGAAAATCTTCTAAGTAGCCAGTAAGTACATGAAAATATGCTCAACATCATTAGCCACTAGGGAAGTGCAAATCAAAATCACATCTACTAGGATGGGTATAGTCAAACAGATCAGTAACAAGTGTTGGTGAGGAGAAACTAGAATCCTCATACAGTATTTATGGAAATGTAAAATGGTCCATCTCCCTTGGGAAATAATCTGGCAGTTCCTCAAGAGGTTAAACACATAAGTGCCAAACGATCTAGCAATTCTACTGCAAGGTAAATACCCAAGAGAAATGAAAACTTTTTATGTCCATGCAAAAATTTGCATAGGAACATTCATAGCCGCAGCATTATTCATAATGGCCCCAAAATGGAAACAATCAAAATGTATGTCCACTAATAAATGAATAAACAAAATGTGGTCTCACTGCATACAATGGAATATTTTTCAGCCATTTAAAAAATGAAGTATTGGGGCACCTGGATGGCTCAGTCGGTTTGGTGTCTAACTCCTGGTTTCCATGCAGGTTGTGATGTCATGGGTCATGGGATTGAGTCCCCTCCCCCCGCAAAAAATTAAGCTCCTCACTCAGCAGAGTCTGTTTGAAAAATTCTCTCCCTCTGCCCTCCCCCCACTCTCTCTCTAAAAATAAATAAATTGTTTAAAAAAAATGAAGTATTGCTATGTGTTACAACATGGATATAACTTAGAAACATAATAAGTGGGGGCGCCTGGGTGGCTCAGCCAGTTAAGTGACTGCCTTCAGCTCAGGTCATGATCCCAGGGTCCTGGGATCGAGTCCTGCATTGGGTTCCTTGCTCGGAAGGGAGCCTGCTTCCCCTCTGCCTCTGCCCCTCACCCCTGCTTGTGCGCTCTCTCAATCTCTCTCTGGCAAATAAACAAAATCTTAAAAAAAAAAAAAACAAAAAAAAAGAATTTTCATACCTAAAAAAACCCCCAAAAAAACCTAATAGGTGAAAGAAGGCAGTCACAAAAGACCATATGTCATTGACTCTATTTTATGAAATGCTCACAAGAGGCAAATCCAAAGAGACAGAAAGTCTCTAGATTAGTGGTAGCCCGGGGCTATGGAGGTTGGGGAGAAATGGGAAGTCACTGCTAATGGGCCTGAGGCTTCTTTTGGGGATGATGAAAATGTCCTAAAATTGATTATAGTGATGGCTGCAAAACCGTGAATTGTACATTCTAAATGGGTAAATTGTACAGTATGTAAATTATATATTAATAAAGCTGTCTTTATAGATATTAAATAGGCAGTATTATCAGCCTTATTCCCCAGCTTCTGCAGAGTACAAAAAGAGGTTATTGAAGGCTTTAAACAGATCAGCGAAACTTGTCAAAGAAACCAAAATCATGAGTATTATGAGGCTAAACCAACCCAGTGACGCCTGAAGATACTGAGGAAGATGTTCTGTCCTATGAAGGCTGCTTCAGAAACACTCTGTCATGGTCCAGTGCTGAATAAACACACACACACGCTAATGCCCTGCCTGCCCTATCCTTCATATGCAAAAGAAATAAAGAGATAACTCAATATTTCTATCCATTAAACACTTGTCAGAAGCCTGAGTTCATGAAAAGCATATTTATCTATTCAGATAGACTCATTTTGTTAAATTTGAAAGCCAAAAAAGCATGTACACTTGTACTATCAGTCCTAACTTTGAAAAATTGAGGTTTTGTTTTTTTTTTAACCACAAGAAATATCTGAGAAATTCTAGATGGATTTCTATTAGTGTTCAACACAGATGTTGTGATGACAGCCTACAATAAAATGGGTTTACCCTGACAGATGGAATGATGAGGTGCAGAGATAAGGCTGGAGGTGGCATAATAGGTGGAGGGAATGATGCTCAGAGCCAGTTACATTGTATAGACTCAAGCAAAGTTCCACAACTTACAGCTGAAATCAATATTAAGGTTTTATGTGTAAAATAGAAATTTGGGGTCTTGAAATTTTGTTTAATCCGGAGTAAGAATATGCTAGCAGTATTTCTCAAGACCTAATAGGAATTAGCATTCCCTCTAATAATGTAAATTCTGAGTGATCCCTGTGAAAGGAAGGGGAGTATTCTCCAAATAAATTGAAGTGGGCCCAAGACAGAAGAGGAGCTGTGAAAGCTCTAGTTCTATTCCATTAATGGGAATCTTGCCCCAGAATTTTTGAGAATGCCCACAGTGGCATATTCTTTTGCATGTCCTCAGTGATAGTCTTTATTCTTTAATAGGGATATAATTTGTACAGGGGACCAAGAGAAGGCAGTAGAGAACAGAGGTTAAGAACATGGGTTCTCTGTGAATAATGGTAAGTTTCATTGGAATAAAATACTTCAGCCTGCAGATGACATGTATCACTTTTTATTAGGTTCCACTGGTGAATACCAGTCACATGGCCCCCCACCTATGTAAGGACTAGCAGTATACCAAAGAGAGCACACATACTCACAAAGCTTGGGGCAAGGAGTAGATGACCCACTCCTCTGCTAACCAGCCCTTCCCAATTGTATCAGCAGGCAGAGAATGGGAACTGACTGAATCAGTGAGAAAAACAAACAGGTCTGCACTACCCCCAAATATTCTCATACATGCACTTCCATTTATATGCTTATTCAACACTAGGATTTATATATTTATTCAAACACTACATACTCCTGCCTTCTTTGTTCCCTCTGTTGAGTCTACTCAGTGTCTCCAGTAGGGGTCCTAGGCCATCCACCAGATAGTTCTATGGTCCTGCCTTGGTGATTGCCCTGATTTGAACTGTTTTTCTTCCAGGTGTGTGCAATTTATATTAACACAAAGAACCAGGTGGTTACTTTTCATTATATCTCATGATCGCAGCTGGTGTTAACTGACATGTAATTTTTTCCTATTCATGCACTTTTAGTTCAGTTTTTGGTGCAGGCTTATTACTTTTATACATCATGATTGATTTTACCTCTTATCAATTTACTCTTCAGTATTTTACTTGTAAAATAGCTCCAGATACATACAAGATTGATAACACATATGGCCTTTGGGGATTGGAATTGGGTGGCTACGGAAGGAGATTTTTGAGCTTTTTAAAAATGTTGAGCCATGTGAGTTGTTTACCTAATGTGAATGAATAACTAATAAAAAAAACCACTTGAAAACAATAAATAAAAAGGATTAGGAGGAGAAGTGAGATTCTATTGGTGGGAAGAAGGGTGGGAAAAGGTGGCTGAGGAAGAGAAGGGCAAGAGCAGAGCCAGCTGCCACAGGGAGTACAATTCCAGGGAGAGAGATGTTTAAAAAAAAAAAACATTTTTAGAAACATCTACAGAATGATGTGGAGTGTAACCAACTTCCTCCAACCTCCACCAAGAAAAATTCACTAATACAAAAACAAAAACCCAAAACATCTTTAAGAGTCAGCCTCTGCCTGTCACTTGGCCTTACCTTTGATGCTAAACTCACATTTCTTTTTTTTAATTTAATTTAATTTTTTTATTCTTATGTTAATCCCCATACATTACATCATTAGTTTTAGATGAAGTGTTCCATGATTCATTGTTTGTGCATAACACCCAGTGCTCCATGCAGAATGTGCCCTCCTCAATACCCGCCACCAGGCTAACCCATCCTTCCACCCCCCCTAAACTCACATTTCACCTTTTGCTTCATACATAGTGAGTTATTTGTAGCTACTCAAATGTATTCTGTCACTTCCCTGTAATTGCACTTCCACTTTCTCCTTGCTAATTCCTCCTCTTCCCCCTTCAAGATTCACCTTCAATGACAAGCTTTAGAGTGGGATAAATATACCTTTGTGCTCCTTTGGCACCCCATTCACACCTCTCCTACAGTGATTTTCCCAGCATCTGTGTTTATCTTACTCCCTTATCAGAATCTGTATCTACAGTGCCCTGTACATAGTAGATACTCAATAAAAGCTTGTTGAACTGAAAATTAAACAGTTGCCTTAAAGGTTACTCTGAGTATTAAGTATAGCATTTGAAAAACACAATAGTATATAGTCTCCTAAAGCATTGTATATAATACACATGGTAACAAGTATAAAGTGAATGGTACATAGTAGTCAAATTCAATAAATGTTGCAAAAAAAAAAAAAAAAAAAAACCAAACAAAACTTAACACAAAGATGGAAGAATTGATTTACCCAGAAGGTATGATATGTAAGAATCTGGTTGTTACAACATGACACAGGTTCAAGAACTAACTACAAGAGATCCAGGTTGACTGATAAATGAAATATTTAAAGTAGATTATGGAAAATTTGGAAGGCAGGGGCTACTACTCTTGCTTTGAGTCTGTTAAAAAGGTCCGTTTAATGCACAGCGGGTGTCTGTTCTGAGGCATTTATTCAAAGAATGTGAAGTCATTGAAAAATGGAAGAGATATTCTCTCCCTCAAAAAATCAGAATCAGGGGCGCCTGGGTGGCTCAGTTGTTAAGCTTTGGCTCGGGTCATGATCCCAGAGTCCTGGGATCGAGCCCCACATTGGGCTCCCTGCTCGTGGGAGGCCTGTTTCTCCCTCTCCCACTTCCCCTGTTTGTGTTCCCTCTCTCGCTGTCTCTGTCAAATTAATAAATAAAATCTTTTAAAAAAAATCAGAATCAGAGAATGCCAGAGGTGGAAAGAGCTTTAGAGATCATCTAGTCTAGGGATCAACAAACTATATAGCCTATTTTTGTACAGCCTTTCAGTTATTTATGTTTTTACATTTTTTAAAGGGTCTGTAAACATACACCACTATGTGACAGACTGTATGCAGCACACAAAGCCTAAAGTATTTACATCTGGCCCCTTACAGAAAAATTTGACCCTTGACCTAGGCCAGTCTTCTTATTTTGTGACAAAAAAGCTAAGTAACTTGTTCAGGATCAGTCATTCAGTAAGTTAGGAAGGCAGACCTGTAATCAATGGCAGATTTTTCAGCTTTTTGTACACACTAGGGTAAAAAAATTTAGTACATGTGAAAAATTAGATATATAAAGTAAGCATTAGCAATTTCACTTGCTCTAAGAATCCGTTTTTAAATAGTCATTTTATTTATTTTTTAAAGATTTTATTTGTCAGAGAGAGAGAGAGAGAGAGCCAGCACGCCAGCACAAGCAGGGGAACGGCAGGCTCGCCACTGAGCAAGGATGCAGCACTCGATCCCAGGATCTTGGGATCATGACCTGAGCCGAAGGCAGACTCTTAACCGACTGGGCCACCCAGGCGTCCCTAAAAAGTGATTTTAAATGTGAATTATGGCAAACGGACCCATGGAAAAAGTATGGGCTTGGAGAGAAAACAAAATCCACCTACTCTCCAAGTAGGTGACTCTGAGAAAGTTACCCTTTTTGAGCTTCTGTTTTAACTATGAAATGAGGTAACAGCACCTTTACTGAAGATTTAAAAAGCGTGTATCACGTAACTAGCGTTCAATAAATTGATGTTTTCCTTCCCTTCCTACCTAGGGTCATACTGGCCATGCATTTAGGCAGTAAATTGAATTGGATGACGTACGCATCCATTGTCAACTCATTACCTTGAAGTGAAATGTTTCCCCCCTCAGAGTCCAGGAGTCCCCCGCAAAAAAAGGGGATGAAAGTCAGGTGGACTGACTCAGCTAGAGAAAAGAGCCGGAACAGGGTAAAAAGGAGGACCGAGAAGCAAAGGACACGAGTCTGAGACAGTGCGGGAAGGGTGCCAGGAAGCGGACTCCAAACCCGGAAAGAGAAATCTGGTATTTAGGTTTGGGATAAAGAGGGGTAAATGAGATCTGCGTTGCCGGATTCCTAGCCTGGGAGATGAATTTACCTCGGGCTGCCTGGACAGGACGCCTTGTGAAAGGACATAGAACACACGCTGTTCCTTACCTGCTGCCTAAGTCCACGGCCACGGCTCGGAACCTCGCGCCACCCCATAGTGCTCGCACCTGCAACTGGGTGAGCACCCGATCCCGCCCTGGCAAACGAAGGGGACCATCGCAAAGCGGCCGAAGTCGGAGGCACGAGCAGCAATGCCTGCAGGCCGCCATGACACCCGGCACGCGATCACCCCGGGCTGCACCTTGATTGGCTCACTCTGCCGATGGTGGGGCGGAGCCTGGTGCAGTTTCGTTTCCGTGGTGGCGGGGCGGGGGAACGCGGGGAAGCGGACACCTAGGTCGCTTTCTACGAAGCCTAGAAAGGGTCAAACCTATCTGAACGCAATTGTGACAACTTCTCTTTCCTATTTAAGTATCTGCCAGTGAAAGGCAATTAGAAAGTTAATGCCTTTTGTGTATGTGTGTGCTATCGTCATTTAAAAGAAAGTCCTAGAATAATGCAAATGTTGAATAAGTAGGGTAAATATAGTAATAATAGAAGTCATCAGACAAAACATTATTTGGCTTCTGTAAACTGAGAATTAGAGGAGAATTTATGTAGTGGACCATGGAAAGAGATCTCTCTCTCCTGTTCTCTGCCTTGGTTTTTATTTTATAAATTTCACACAAATATTACTGAAAAGGTTTATGTTAATTTATTTCTAGTAAGTTAATTTCAGTTCTTATTGATCTATATCACCATTTTAGATCTTTGACATCATTTGTTATTCATTTTCGTTTCCATTGTTAATATTTAGAATTCATTTCTTTGCCCCTTTTGATCAAGTGTTACTATTTTTTAAACCAACTCTTATTAAATGCAAAATGCCAGCTACTATTTAAATGTTTTGGAAAATGAAAAATAGTGTTTGAAATTTGAATTTGATAAATTTTCAGGGAGTAAATAAATCTCTCCCACCCCTCTTAATCCTGTTAGAACATCTTCATATGGTTCCTTGAATGAATCAATGATATTTTTTTTATTATGAGGGTCATATTTCTCTTTTAAGATCATAACCTCCTTCCTCCGAAGAAATCCAAACAACAAAATCCAACATACATTCAAACATGGTTTTAAGAACTAAAAATGTTGAACTTCAAACAGACAAATGATTTAGTGGCAAAGCAGCTCCCTGACACCTTGGTTTCCATGAGATATTAGCACAGATTTGGAATTTCCATGTCAATAGAAGGAATTACTACTAAATCTGCTAGGGATATTTAGTGTTAAAGAAGTTTTTTTGCCTCTTCCTCTACATTTGACTTTACCCCCTGTTGCTACAGTGTTTTCTAGACCAATCTATTGAAACCTATCCTAATGACAAATCTATCATAATCTACTTGCCATAATACAACATGATTTTGAATTTATAAAATAAGAATACTAAATCACCTTTTGCTAAAGCACTTAAGTACTATTTAATCATTTCATTCAGGTGGTGTTACCTAATAGTTCGGAGCATAAACTTGAAGTTAGTCTTGAGTGGTCCCAATCTTAGCTCTGCCATTTACTAGTTGTCTGACCCTATCTCTCTAAGCCTCAGTTTCCTCATTTATAGATATGGATATTAATATGAATCTCATAGGGTTTTTGTAAAGATTAAATGCGACAGAGCATGTAAGATGTTTATCACAGTACCTGCCAACATTGTCAGCACTCAATAAATGGTAGATTCAGCTTTGACTAGGCTTTTTAAAATTTTCCCTCTAGTTTCCCGTTTGAAATACTGAACAACCCTCTTTGCTGTAGAGCCCCATGAATCTGTTAAGCTTTCATCCATCTGGAAATATTGGAAAGCAGTATTTACACATTAAGTCCACCTGTTTCCTCATACCAACCCCAAATAATTGATATGGTAGTAATCATTTCATAAATTTAAAGGCCATGTGGGTATTGAAATTTGTTATTAAGTAGTCATAAAGATGATCCAGACTGTGTTTCTATTAAGTGTGGTGTCTCTCTTGATTGGATGGGGGCCCCCAAATGTAGGGCAGTGATCTGGTGGAAGCCATCGATGGGGGTGGTAAAAGGATTCACCCAAAGCAGAACCTAGGAGATAGAAGTTTACTGAATACACTGCAACAGAGGAGCCAGCAAGACAGCAAAGAAGAGACTGTCTGCCAGGAGGCAGTGGATGGGGGCTGTTTTTAAAGGGGGTAGGTGAGGTGTGCAACTTACGGAATTTTCCCTTTTTTGGTAACTGTGCCTGGTTGTAAGTAGCCCATTGGTTAGTTAGGGCCTATGGATATTTTGTGTGGGTTGCCTGATCAGCCTGTCTGTATTCAGCCAGGGGATTGCTCCAGGCTGCGCCAACCTAGAAAGGTCTAAATTCCATTGCTCACCCTGTTTGCATAAAAGCAGCCTCTACATTAAGCATTTTAAGATTAACACAGAAACGGAAGTATAAAAAGTTTAAATTCTTGTGGTTGTAAGATCGGGAAACTGAAGGACTCCATAAAAACATGGTTTTTGCTCTTTTCGTGCTTCTATTCTTGCTAGGACCTGCACGTCCACTTTACACATGCCTCAAGATGCAAATAGTGTATGTCGCTGTTGTATGGGACAAAAAGTTAATGATTTCTTTAGAAAAGATAACATCTAAGGAAAGACCAGATGAGAATGACTGGACAAAGCTATCATATGCATATTCCAGACCACCAGCACTAGACTTTTTGAGGCCAAGACCCTCTGGCTCCAAGGAATAACACCTGGGCCCTTATCTTTATTCTAACTGGTTCCTGGATGCCAGACCACAATCCTCAATAAAAACCCTGAACAAAGACGTGGCTCATGCTCCTTTTCTTTCTGAATTTCCCAGATGCTCCATCTGTATCTGATCTCTCTGTATCTTCAATAAACTCTGCTATCACTTCCTGCTGGCTTGCATTTGATTTTCATCCTGCGTGAAGCCAAGGACCCTCTTAGCTGGTCCTGGAGACCCTCTTTGGGTCCCTGGACCCAGCCTGCCAGCATCAGTTTTATTCACAGAAGCTATGATCCATTGAGGTTCAATCTGAGATGTCTCATTCTAGAAATAATAGTTTTACCAAGTATAGTTTGACAGCCAAAATATAATTTAAAAGGAAGTTCTTTACCTATAACTTCTGAAGGACATTAAAGATGATCTAATTTAAATCCACCAGCAATATTCCTCAGATCTCCTTTTTTCTTTTCTTCAAACTCCAATGAGTGTGTGTCAAAATAGTTAATACCACTACCGGCTCCGAGTAGCAATTTCACTAAAGTAAAACATCACTGCATTAAATTACTGTTAATTAAGATTTAATTTGGTTTGTAGTTTGGCTTATAAAGTATATACGATTATTTTAGTTTTATGACTGTATAAGAGGCACAAGATTAAGGAGTTTGTGTCTTGTTACATATTTGTATAAAAAGTATCAGTGGACACCAAGGGTATCCATGAAAATTTTTTTCTCTTGAAGGAATGTAGCTAGAGGGACCTTTCTAAATTGCAAACCTAATTGTGTCTCCATTCTGATTGATTTTCTTCAATCACTTCCTAATCTTTGCTTTGTGTTGACTACAAACTGTCCCTATTTAACCTCATCAATTTTTACTACCTATTTTCTTCCCTTCCTCTCATTTTATAATCCAAGGAAATTGAACCACTCATTCCCCTCTAACATACAACCCTCTCTCCTGCCTCTGTGTCTTTGTATATATGATTCCGTGTGCCTGGTACATATTCTCTCCAATGTGTCAGCCTGGTACAATCAGTCTTCAGATCTTAATACTGGAAGCCTTCAATACTAGCCTCTCTGACTTCCCCATGCTGACCTGTAGGTACAACCTATGTCCATCCTTCCACTTTATTAATTTATACAATCATTATCTCATCCATGGAAATGAATGTGGAAGTAGGTATTGTGTAGTGGTTAAAAGTGCTGGCTCTGGCATCAAATTGTCTAGGTTCAAATCTCACCTGTCACCTCCTAAACATGTGATTCTTGATAAGTTGCTTACCCTTTCTATGTCTCAGTTTCCTTACTTGCAAAGTGAAAATGATAAAAATATCCACCTCGTAGGGTTGTTAGGCAGATTTAAGTGCAATCTTATTTTTATGGAACTTAGCATAGTCCCTGGCCCATGGAATACCTGTTTTATGCCAGGCACTATACTAGGCTGAGGGGATGTAGGGGTGTCAAGATAGTCATAGGGCATAATAATTCCTGCTTTATGGAGCTTGAAGTTTAGCATGAGAGACTGATAAAAACACAACCAAACAAATAAAAAGAAAAATTCGAGTGTGATTAATAGTAAGAAGGAAATAAACTAGATGAGAAAATAGGGAATAATGGGATAGATGAAAATATGGTGGCTAGGGAAAACCTTTCTGTGGAGACATTTAAGCTGCCCTAAAGGATGAAAAAGAGACAGGTTCTGAAACATGGGGGCCAGGTGGGAGCAGTGACTTGGAGGGGGGAGGGTTGCCCCTGAGTTAGGAGAGAGTTTGGCTTCTGTGAGGACTTGATAAAGCCAGTGTGGCTAGAGAGTAGTAAGTAGGAAAGTGGCAAAGATGAGGTAGGAGAGGAATGCACTGGAAAGTTGAAACAGGGACGTGGCATGACCTAGTCTACATTTTAAGATGATCCCTCTGGCTGTTGAATCTAGAATGGATTGGAGGATGATAAGAGGGAGGTATAGAAATCAGGAGTAATGTGGTGTCAAGGGTGACAAGGAGAAAGGATGGAGAGATTTGCAATATATTTTAGTGTTGGAATTAATAGGACTTGTTGATGAATTGGATACTGGGAGGTGTGAATTAAGACTATTAACAGGCTTAGATGGGTCATAAATGTAGTGTCTGAGACACCTGAGAGTAGCTGTCAAGACAGTTGGATCTGAGCATAGGACTCAAGGAAAGGACTAGTGTTAATATAAGAGTAATCAGCATACCAGTGATATCACAAGCCATGGAAATGCTTTGTATCACTTAGAAAGATGGTAGAGAGAGAAAAAGGAAGGCCCAGGTCTGAGCTCTGAGGAGGGGGAGGCTGCCAAGTCTATGGAGATGGAGCCAACATTGATGGAGAAGTCAAGGTAGGTTGTATTATGCTGGGTGTTTTCCATTTGCACCCATTCCATCCATTCCTTTGGCTCTTCTCTGTGCCATTATGGAGCTAATGTATAGATAACAACACCCAAACTCCCTCTTTTTTGGTTGGGTCAGCTAATGAGAGACACTAGCA